TTACCAAAGCCAAATGGATTATTTTGGTCTGCACTCCCACGGCACAAGATGAGTTGGAGAGACATAATTCCGCGTATATTTTGTCCCTAGGTTGAACCAAACCAACGCGTACAGCCTGCGTGCGCGATGGCGATCAGATGGCGTGTATGAATTTGTTACGATGACTTCACATCAACGCGTTGGTTTTTCCGAAGCTTTAGTCGCCTTTTACACCATTAAAGTGGGGGTGGTCCTACTCTATAACCCTATGCCTTTAACCACATCCGCGGGGTACTCCTACCCTACACTACTGTCAGCAATCACGGATGCATCCCCATCCGCAGGGAGGTAATGCGATCAGCAGTGAAACGTCTTGCAGATTGCCTCCGGCAACCGGGACCTATTAGCATGGGGCTGAATTAAATTGTAGCGAAAGGGCGGTGATGTTTGATAGGAGATAGCGTTTTACAGCATTATTGTGTAATACACCCACGGTGGACCGACGACCTTATAAAGGTATCAGGAAAGCGCTGGATGCAGGCCGCTACCAACCGTGGTATGTGGAGGTCAGTGGACGTCCTGTGGCTGAAATGATGATGATGTTTGTGTAATACGCCCGTATTCAAAAACATTACTATGAGGTCTCACAGTGCGCGTGAACGCACAGGGTGACACACTAACCAATCACAGAGCTTTATTCAACGCTGTGCGTTCGATTTGCTGTTTCACATAAGCTAGTAATCGTTTGTGAATTCGGGTGATAGAAGAAGTGGCTCTGGGCTGGGTGTAAGCCCTTTTCCCATGGGCCGCAGTGAGTGAGTCATAGATACTTTTTATTTTGTTTTTCCAAATATTATTAATAGCGGCCGCCCGCGACTTCGTACGCGTGGACCTCGTTTTACTCCATTAGGGGTGGAGTTTCGTAAAATCCGCTCTTAGCATCTATAGCGCATACATTTTAAATTTNTTTTTTTTCGATGTACATACCCGTGTGGGGTATCAATGGAAAGGTCTTTTAAAATGATATAAAGTTTTCTAAAAAACATTTTTCTTAAAGTGAACGGTTTTTGAGATATCAGCTCTCAAAGTCGTAAAAAGTATGTCCCCCCCCCTCTATTTTTATAACTACGGGGTATAAAATTCTAAAAAAAATAGAGGTGATGCATGCTAATTAACTCTTTCAACGATTTTTGGTTTGATCAAAGTATCTCTTATAGTTTTTGAGATAGGTTGATTAAATTGACATAATAAGTTTATTATATTTGCTGCTACGGAACCCTTTGTGCGCGAGCCCGACTCGCACTTGGCCGGTTTTTTTAATAAAACTTTTTAGCTGGTATTCTTAGGTAACCTTGAAACTTGAAATAGGTAATTTAGTTTTAATATTTCTTCAGAACTTGTGACACGTTACTTGATTGAAAAGGAAACATTTGAGATTATCATCCAAAGGCGCTTCATCTCAGCACTTGCCAAATGTTGGTCTCGAAGCGCAGCCGCTGCGCGCTGTTAGGGTAAAAAGATTATGAGACATTTAGAGGCTCCTGAGCAATATATTTGACGATTTGTAGTACTATTTAATAGTCTATACAAATAAAGACATTTTGACTTTGACTTTGATTAAAGATACCGCTTCCATCGTTACCATAGTCTCTCCTTGACATCCTGCAAACGCAACCCCGTCGATGCAAACTGCACCGTCCGCCTTCCCAATTAAGTGCAAAACTGCTCGCTGCAAACGCCAGGCGCAGCAGCCTGGCAATTAAGATTGCATGTCACTTCAAATTTGGTTAGAGTCAGTCCAATTTATCGGTCGGTTTGTGAGGCATCGTATTTGGAGCCTAATTCTGGGAACATGTCTCGAGACGCTCCTTTGAGACTGAGTTGGTTAAGTTTGGATTTGATACGTCCTGAAGTGGCTAATGTAGAGCCTAGTTTACTGAAATTTGACTGAGTTAACTGAAATTTAGTGGATTAATCAGTAAGTAAATTCTAAGATCTAAGTTTATCCTCGCACACTCAAATCAGTTTCTAGTCGCTTAATTATACATATAGTAGCCCTAGTTTCTGTAATGACAGTTTAACTTTCCCCCGGGACAAGCTTGACCTTCACTGGTTGGGTTTTTATTGGTCAAGCTGTAGAATGTAGATCCTGGCTACACAGGAGTTGCAGCGGTGGGAACGAGAGGTGGGAATAGTCCCGTATGTAGCGTAGTTTGCAAAATAAGTGGATTAATGGTAAATTCTAAGTTTTAAATTTATCTTAGTTTTAGTAATTAATAGTTTCTAATAGCCTAATCATCATCATTTCCGCCACAAGACGTCCATTGCTGAACAAAGGCCTCCCTCAATGATTTCCAGATTGCCCGATTAGTAGCGGCCTGCATCCAGCGCCTTCCTGCTACCTTTATGAGGTCAGAATCAAATGGTTAAATTCGTCTTTACAAAAGGTTAGATCCGTAAACGAACTAAAGTCGCTGACATAGCCCGACGGATTAGCAAGCTGAAGTGGCAATGGGCAGGGCACATAGTACGCAGAACTGACGGCCGATGGGGCAGCAAGGTTCTGGAATGGAGGCCGCGTACCGGAAAACGCAGCGTGAGACGTCCACCTACAAGGTGGACCGACGCCATCGTAAAGCTGGACGCAGGCCGCTACCAATCGATCAACGTGGATAGCATTAGGGGAGGCCTATGTTCAGCAGTGGACTTCCTATGGCTGAAATTATGAAAGGTTACCTAACTCTATTCTGTATCTTATTTAACCTTAACGGCGAGAAAGTCTCAAAGAACGTTGTTATAACAAATCCTAATTATTTAGGATTTGTTATAGATATAGTTATGATAGTCGTTATCGTCTACAATAAGATTTAGCTCGTGGAGCTCAGGATTACACAGATTGTGTTATTCAACGTTTCATCTTAGTTTCATGGAGGGCCGGAAGTTACGCATGTAGCAGGAAATTGCTCGGCAGGACAGGGTTGGATTTGGGAACATCGAATGGACAAAAAAGCTGTAGTTTATTTACACCTGCTTTTTGAGCGTATCGGGACTAGTGTTGAAAATGACCAAAGCGGCTGAATTTGACTGATCGTCATTTACGGTCAAATTGGTCAAAAAAAAATAAACTGTCAAAAACGGTCAATTTCGGTCAATTTGATTTCAGTAATAGTTTTTAAACCCATATCGACACATATTACTCAATGTACTTATGTACTAGAATGTACGTAAGAATATGTGCCGTCTTTTTTATTACGCTGATTCTGCTCCACACTGCTGGAGCCTATAATATCGTCATATTGTTTGTTTCAACATACAATGTCACTATTTTATGTAAAACTAGCGGCCGCCCGCGACTTCGTACGCGTGGACCTCGTTTTACTCCATTAGGGGTGGAGTTTCGTAAAATCCGCTCTTAGCATCTATAGCGCATACATTTTAAATTTCAACTCTCTTACTTTAAACACATAGGACTTTCATAATATAAACTTCCAACCCTCCTTTTATCTCTTTAGCCCCCGTAGTTGATTTCTAATGATACATTTTCAGTATATGTACCACCACCACCATTTCAGCCATAGGACGTCCACTGCTGAACATAGGCCTCCCCCAATGCTTTCCATGTTGATCGATTGGAAGCGGCCTGCGTCCAGCGCTTCCCTGCTACCTTTACGATGTCGTCGGGCCACCTTGTAGGTGGAAGTCCCACGCTACGTTTTCCGGTGCGCGGCCTCCATTCCAGAACCATTCTGTCCCATCGGCCATTAGTTCTGCGTACTATGTGCCCTGCCCATTGCCACTTCAGCTTGCTAATACGTCGGGCTATGTCAGCGACTTTGGTTCGTTTACGGATCTCATTTCTGATTCGATCTCGCAAAGAAACACCAAGCATAGCCCTCTCTATAGCACGCTGTGCTACTGAGCTTCTGTATATAAGGCCTATAGTGAGAGGCCACGTTTCCGAGCTATGGCTCGGTATCTTATCACTGGTAACACACATTGGTTATACACTCTAGTCTTCAGGCATTGAGGTATTTTGGACGAAAAGATGTTGCGTAGTTTCCCGAACGCTGCCCAGCCGAGTTGGATTCGACGATTGACCTCCTTCTCGAAATTGGACCCACCTAGCTGGATCGTTTGTCCAAGGTAGACATACCTACTTGTCGACAATCTGGAGAATAATTGAGNACCCTATTTTTTTCCAAAATAAAATTTAGCCTATGTTACTCGTGAGTTATGTAGCTTTCGAATGGTGAAAGAATTTTTAAAATCGGTCCATTAGTTTTTGAGCCTATCCATTACAACTAAACAAACAAACAAACAAACAAACAAACAAACAAACAAACAAAGTTTTCCTCTTTATAATATTAGTGTAGATGTAAAATCATCAAACTTCTAACGCTCGTAACTCAGTTCAGACTGAGTTTAGAGGTATACATGTCATAGTAAGTTTGGTTTATTACACTATTTTGTAATCAAAAAACAAGGGTTGGTCGATGGCCGCGCGAAAAAAAAGACGCCACTTTCCATACAAAAACTGGCATTGCCATTTAATTTTGAAGCGACGCCGTCGTCAGTACAACTGTAACAGCCTGAATACGCACCTGTTACTCATGCTACTTTGAGCAGTTTTAAACTTAGGTTATTATCATATTTCATGTTTCGTCGGTCGGAAGGACTACAGAGGTGCTCTGCGTAGTCATTGTGAACTTTTAAATTGTTTTTATTTAATGCGATGTGTATTAACTTATGTGATTTGCTTTTATAGTGTAACTTTTTAAAAAAAGTGATTTAATACATTGTCAAATCATAGAACGAATGGTACTCGTAGCTAGCTAGGTGTTACCCTTGAAAACTTTACTTAACACCGGATTAAAAATATGAACTTATTACCTACCTATATTCCTTTCTTATAAAAACTATGTAGTATATTCCTTACTTGTTTTTAGGAAGGGTCATAGATTAAAAAATATAGTAGGGTATTTAATAATGTATTTCTAATATTTACAAAAAACATTTACATAGTAAATTAACTTATTCAAAAATGTAATTCAGAATCATTAAAGTAGCTATTTACAGTAATAATAAATAATAAAAACCTTGGAAAAACATGGTCATTTCAAGAGTTTTTACATGACTGGTATAAAAAGATGTTTGACCAGACATCAGTGGACAAGATATTTTAAATCCAAGTTCATAGAATAGCCTCAAACGGGACGAAAATCTGTCTTAAACTTTCTACAAAGTTCAAATCTTTGATGATGATGAAGCCTTTTGACGGGTGATGATGATGGAGCCTCAATACTGGTTCTACTTCTTCACCAGCGGTAGTTGTATGAAGCCCTGCCGCCGTAGTCCTTCATGCCTCCCATGCGGCTGTAGGTGCCTTCCAGGCCGAAGTCTCCATTCTTGCCTACGGGCCAGCGACCGCCGCCGGCTGCGGTCCACTGTGGAAACCATAATAGTAAGTTAAAAGTCATAAAAGTGCTTTTACTAGCACTAACTACTAACCCTACCACTGCTTCGGGACAGTAAATGGGCAGTGGAAGATGTAGCGCTAAACTTAGTCACCTTTTCGTTTGAGGTTTGATGTTGATGGCCTTTTGGAAAATGTGATAGTGAATGAAATTAAGCTGCCTTTGTGGTCTGGTAAGACCACCTGACTCCTTTCCTAGACCCAGAGGTCCTGGATTCCCAGCGAGGGCATTTTTTTCTGCTCTATTTGTTTAGTGGTAGGACTTGTTCTTAGTCCGCCTACCTAGCTACCACCATCTACTAAAGTCTGTCGTCATGACAATAATATTTACAGTGTTGATATGTTTCGGCAGTTAGAGGTAAGATAGCCAGTTCTTCAGTGGTTGGGGATTCCATGAGAAACTTGATTTCACAGTCGGCTTGACATCAGGTGAGATGCAGGCCAAAGATATCAGCGTTGCAGTTGAATGTACCTACTCGTAAGTTGACTGGTAACAGTTACAATAATCAGTCTATGCTAATATTATAAATGCGAAAGTAACTCTGTCTGTCTGTATGTCTGTCTTTCACGCCTAAACCACTGAACCGATTTTGATGAAATTTGGCATAGAGATAGTTTGAGTCCCGGGAAAGGAAATAGGATAGTTTTTATCCCGGTTTTTGAAACAGGGACGCGCGCGATAAAGTTTTTCTGTGACAGACAAGATACCACGCGGGCGAAGCCGCAGGCGGAAAGCTAGTGTTCTAATATGTTACTAACCGAGGTGGGTCCATGGACCTGCTTGTTGATGTCGAAGGAGGCCTGTGCGTGGTCGTCGCGCCACTTGAGCGCGCCGCCGAGCGCGCTGGAGTCGCCGTAGGGCCCGAGCGTGCGCGTGCCGAACGCCTGCGCGTCCATCTTGCCGCGCGCGTCGTCGAAGATGTTGTGCTCGTAGCCCGCTTTGCCCTGGACATAAATAAATAAATAAAATAAATAAATCTTTGGACAATTTCACACATCGCCAGCTAGCCCCAAAGTAAGCAACTTAATGCTTGTGTTATGGGTGCTAGCTTAACGGATATACTACTTATATACTTTTTTTTTTAAATACATACATATTATACATAGTAACACCCAGACCCGTCACAGAAATTAAAATTCATCATTTCAATTTCTGCCCGGCCGGGAATCGAACCTGGGACCTCTTGGCATAGTAGCACGTTCTGAACCACTACACCAAATTAAGTTAAGTTAAATTGTTTTTAATTACTTAAATGTTATTCTGAGCTTTGTTACATTTTGTTTGAATAGTGTAATTGGTACCACCGTTCTATTCATGAATAAATAAATAAATAAATAAGGTTCACAGAGATGCTAACTCTAATCATGAACATTCGTAGGCAGCTTTGCCCGGGACATACGGTTCACCTTAAACTGGTAACTCATAAAGTAATCATCAACATACAGGCTTCATTCTGAGGCTGCGAAAAAGCATTCTGCCAAATTATACGAATCAGGTCTCCCAAACCCGTCTGACCAGTGTGAAGAGTGTGGGCCGAATCCTCAATTTACCTCTGGTTTCCTACAGTGACTACTGCTACAGCTGATCATGATGATGAAAAATCAGTTATAAGTTTCAATTTTATTAATACCCTTTCTCTCTAGAAAAGGGATAGCTGAATGAAAGTCATCAAAGTAAAAGTAAAGGCACAAGAGAGATGAGAAAAGGGCCCAGAAAAGGCGAATACTTACAAATAGACCAGCGTCGTTGGAGCCAACGGTTCCGAACACTCGTCCGTTGTCCATCTTGTGGGCAGCAGTGAGGTCGCCGGTCTTGGGGTCGATGCTGACGTCTCTACGGACCCTAGGGAGAGCTACGTAGTGCGGTACTAGATACTCGTCACTATAAAAAATATTAATCAGTATTAATTTGATCCCATATTGCTTCAAAAGAACAAGACAAGAAAACAAGCAGTCAAAGTTCATTTTGTAGAATTTCTGAAGTAGTTAAGCTTAATTTATTTAACTCCAAAAAGCAATAAGAAACAAGATCATGAAGATGACTAACCTGGACAATACGTGTTCACTCGCAGGTTCTGGGATTGCACTGAAATTAAAAAGAAAGGTTAAAATAAAAGTAAAAAAAGACACAGCTACAGAATAGAGAAAATAGAAGTTGTGAACTTTGACGATTTTTGCTTATGTGAAGCAGCAAATCGAACGCAAAGCGTTGAATAGAGCTCTGTGATTGGCTCCTGTCACCCTGTGCGTCCACGCGCACTGTGAGACCTCATAGTAATGTTTGTGAATACGGGCGCTAGTCTAATGATAATTATAGTAAGTTACCTGAATATACTGGTATCATCGTCCTGGATGAAGTACTCCTGGGCAGAAGCCACCATCAGGCAAGCGGCGAATACGATAAGTTTCATTTTTATCTACAATAAAGAAATTATTAATTAATTCAAGTTATTACTTGAAAGCGATAAAATATTGTTTATGATTATTACCGATTTTATTATAATTTGATTAATCACGAATGAGGTAGGAACGAAAGCTTGTCAAACTAAAATCTATTTTCAATCGTTTGTAAAATGCATTTACTATAACAAATGAACGTCTATTTTGAGAATGCCTTAGGGAAGCGTTATTAAGACCAGTGTTATTAGTGGCCAAGAAACTGTATACCTACATGATAAATTTTACCTTATGTAAAACTGTAAAATAGCTCAGAAATATATTTACACGTTATTATTAACTGATATTCGCCTTACTATTAATGTATAATAGAGCAGAACATGCTTACTATACATAGAGATGTCGGAGGCACAAATTATAAGGAAAAAGATAATTTTGTAATTTGAACTATCNAAATAAAATCATTAAATTATTATTTCATTATCCGTACCTCACATCCACTTCCAAGATTTATAGCGAAACACAAATTATGAACATTAAAAAATTATTTATGTATTATACCTGCCTGCTCATACGCAACGTATTGAATAAAACCATCCATACGTCGCTCACTCTGATGACGCGGTCAGAACAGGTTCCGAAGCGCACGCGCCGTCGCGCTAGCTATTTGGTTCTACCCAAGATACGCACAAATTACGGCAAGCGAATGCTTAACTTTGAGGGAGCACAGTTGTTTAATAAACTACCCGCATCAATAAAAAGCATTGACTCCCTAAATATTTTTAAAAAGAAACTTGCCCTACATATTCATGACGTTGTAGAATGAGCCTTACTTATTAAATTTAATGTCTAAAACTAATATTTACAATTTAGAAAATTATATTTAATTTTGTTTTGAACTTATATTATACTGATTTACTTTTTATCGCCAATCAGATGGTATAATTTGCTAAAGCCAATGCTTTTTATAAAACATATCGGTGCGAACGATTCAAATGTAAATTATACTTAGTTTAATTTTGTTCTCAAGTAAGTGACAATTATGTTTTTATTGAGAAATAAAGAATCTTTAAACCTTTTCAATCCGATATCAACATCTTCGGTTCTAATCCCAGGTGTAGCGAAAAAAACCAAAGTTAATCACTATTCTGACTCACAATAATTGAAATGAAAAGTGAAACGTTATAAAAACATAAGTGCTTTATCTACACTTGCGTACATACCTGATAGTTGTGTTAAACAAAAACTAAAGTTCTTTACTCTCCAACGAGTTGAAATCAAATGATACCAAATCCAGTCTCCTATATGATTTTATACTATTCCTGGACGCTATCGGGGATTCCTTCTTTACCAAAAAGATTAGTGTAAAAGCGATCTTATACACTCCGAAGAAAAGATCACTGCATATTAGTTCTTATTGCAGGTACAATAGAGTTGATATTGTAATGAATATGAGGTAAGTGATTCCCCTAACACGTTCAGTTAAATGATAAGGCGTTTACTCTCGTGAAATTGTTATCAATGTGCTGCTTTAATTATCTTTATGACTAGAGGTTAGTGGTCAGAGATTTGGACTTCCTCAAAATAGAAGTTCTGGGTTTGATTCCCAGGAGGAGCACAAAAAATTACTAAGTGTATTAGGTTACAATTACACCGCGCCTCTCCTAATCCACTTCCAATACCTGTTACTAATGATAACGGTATTTTATTAATACAGATTTATTGACGACTATCAAATCTGTAAAAAGTCTGATGTGTACATTTAGCTTTTAGCTTTTGCCCGCGGGGCGCAGCGTCCAGCAGGGATTTCGTATTTTACAGTAAGACCAAATCGTAGGCTTCCCCATTTCAAAATCGAAGATAATCTGGATACTAACTAATATCCGATGTTCTTTCCTAGGTACCTATACATATGTGCACTTTTTAAATAAATAATTTAAAAGAAACACCTGTTTTCATATACATTAAACCGTTCGTACTGCACGTACTCGTGTAGTTTACATAATTATTTATTCCATTTAGTCATAATTTATTCTGACAGTATGTAACTCATTCATTTGGCTTAATTTTAATTAATAAATCTTTAATGCAAACGTACACATCATAAATGTTTTGCATACCACAATAAGAATATCACACGGTAGGTTCATCATCATCATTTTAGCCATAGGACGTCCACTGCTGAACATAGGCCTCCCCCAATGACTTCCACATCGCACGGTTGGTAGCGGCCTGCATCTAGCGCCTTCCTGCTACCTTTATCAGGTCATTGGTCCACCTTGTGGGTGGACGTCTCACGCTGCGTTTTCTGATAGAATGTTTCTAATTTAAATAGCTTTCTTCAGGGCAAGACTTTTCCACCAACGCGGACGAGATGAGATGTGCGGCAAAGCTGACAGGCTATTTTCACCAAAGCGGAGCGCAGAAGAGATCTTTCAAATTACTTAGACGTTTTGAGCTTACGTCAGTCGTGCGTTTGCAAGAGCGCACACGTGATAGTTGGAATTTTTATTTCAACGCATTTTTCACTCAATATTCCGTGTGTGGTCCTACAAATGGATGACAAATGTTCTGCTCAAAACGCCTAATTTGAAAGAGCTCTAACGGGACTAAAAAAATAAGCTAATGTAATTTTTTATGCATGACAAGGCAGGTATTTAACTGCAATCGCAACTGGTGTTAAGTGAGATCATCATCATCATCATCATCATATCAGCCATAGGACGTCCACTGCTGAACATAGGCCTCCCCCAATGCTTTCCATGTTACCCCGTTGGTAGCGGCCTGCGTCCAGCGCTTTCCTGCTAGTAGGTACGTGTTAAGTGAGATGCAGTCCAGTTATGCTCTGGCCTGTAAGTGCCTATTCACTCTCGCTTTTAAAAGTTTAATTGCTCTACTGTTCATTATTCTATTGTGCAAGTTACGAGCAGGAAAACGAAAAAGGCTTATCAAAATGTATTAAAGTCAGCGTTTCCAGGAATATGGGAAGCGGCGCAAAGTTTGACGCAGGATTCCCCTGGGATGTTAGTTGTTAAAACTAATAATAGGTCCCTAGGCACCATTAATATTAATTTACTAATAGGAAAAGCAATTTTCACAAAGACCAGTCCTGCGCCGCTCGCATCCAGGCACCTCCCGCGACCTTCACCAGATCGTCGGTCCACCTAGTCTTTGTGGAAATCCTTGGGGGAGGCCTTTGTCCAGCAGTGGACGTCTTTCGGCTGAAACGAATGAACGAAAGCAATTTCATACATATTGAAGTTTTTTATAGAGAATTTCCGGAAACATTATTATTTTTATATTTCAGCGCTATTTCAGGAACGACAATTTACCGATTTTACACATTAAACCCATACCATTGTCGTCTAAAACATCGATATGATTTTATTACAGCGTGCATCTTAGCCCAGCTGGTGAATTAAGTCATGGGTAGGGAACCCCGCCTAAAGGTGGCCAAAACCCAATGTCTGTATTCCTGATCACTGAACATCTTATTCTTGAAAAATAGCATAATAAGCAACTGATAACAAATCAAAACAAACTTATACTAACCACATGTTTATTATTAATTGCACACTGATAACACGGGAGTGAACGCCTTATCACGGAAATTGCACGTACAAGGGGATTCACTAAGACCTCAGAATAACTACACTGCAATATCAACCACAATAACTTGTGATACGACTCAATTTATAACTGATTACTTTTCTGGACTCTACACGCAATTGGTTCAACAGAATCTTTATTTGTTAATGTGAAAGGATTCCCCGTTAATGTCCAGGAATGATATAAAAACATACGGGAGACTGAGTTTAATATCATTCGACTTACAAACTCACAAGAGAGCACAAATTAATCAGGTATGTAGGTATAACTTCTTAAATGTTGAAATGGTTACAAGTTTTAATTGGTTATTATCAACATTGATTACGTTATTTTTATTTTAACTATCTGGTTTAATTAAACCACCCGGACAAACTGTGTGCAAAACCCACTTGAGAATCAAATCTAGAGCTCTCTTACTTTCCATCAAAGTTTTCTAGATTTTATTGTGCCTACTGACATTCTGGAGTGCCAATATGGTTTGTCAAATACCTGCCTTGTTATGCATAAAAAAAAATTTAAAAAAATTACGGTGGATCTAATAAAGCACCTTGTGGCACTCCAAAATTTCTGCTAATATTATTGATAATAACTCGTTATTATGATGTAATAATTAATTATTTTCTTATTCTTCTAGACACAATGCAAGTCATCATCTTCTCCGCCTTACTGATGGTCGCTGCTGCGCAAGAGTTCTACGTACCACCGTACGCTCAAGATACAGGGTAATTATATTAGCTAGTTACATCAGCCTACAAAAGTTACAAAAAGTAGCCGCTGGGGCAGAAAAGTTCTCGAATGGCGATCACGGGCCGGAAGACGTAGTGTGGGAAGGCCCCCCACTAGATGGACCGACGGTCTGGTGAGGGTCGCGAGAGGTGCCTGGATGCGGGCGCAGGACCGGTCGTTGTGGAAATCCTTGGGGGAACGAATAAAAGTTCACCGAATCAGAATTCTATGGGACCCAATTGGAATTTCTTGAAACTGCTGCCAATAACTTCTAAATACTTATTTACATGATTTTGTACTATTTTTTTTAGTATAATTTTAACCTTTTCTTTTTCTTTCCAGTTATCTCCTTGAAGAACCAATGTATAATGATGAACACGCATTTACCAGGTAAGAAACTTCTCAGTCACATTCTCTTCTTCTTATTTTTCTTGCATTTTATAAGTAGGTTATTTTCATCTTCTGAAGTTTTGTTTATTTAATTAGCAAAGTTCATTTTTTATTACATTGCACATAAAATAGGCGAAGTTATGATAGTCTCTCCCAGTCATCCTCTGAACATCCTTCCTTTAGAGTTCTTACTGTGCTCAAAAAGTTAAAATTGGCTAATAACAACTTGTACCTACCTAGTTCTATTTAGACTACTTTTCAAGCTCCTGAAATTGAAACTAACAACAAATTATCTTTGTTTACAGTGACGGGGAAACAGAACCGTTATTCGGAGTGCACCCCAGGTTCCGTAGAGAAGTTAGCATCGACCCAAAGACTGGAGATCTCACTGCTGACCACAAGATGGACAACGGACGCGTGTTCGGAACTGTTGGCTCCAACGATGCTGGCTTATTTGTAAGTATTTAATTTCCACCTGTCTTATTACCAGGCAATGTCCTGCTGTTCTGGTAAGGAACCAGGAAATAAACTACATTCTAGGATGTCTAAAAAGAGGGTCTACCTAAATACTACAGTTCCATTTGTATCCTGAAGTCATGCTCCATCTTAGACCGATATTCTCCTTTACCATCAGGAGAGAATGTGGATTCAGGAAACAAAAGTCTAGCAAGTACCTTTGGCTTTCTCCCCTATGCCTTGAGTAGGTACCTATTATAGCTTTTAAATCTTTCCTCATTCATAAGAGAGAAAGGGTAAAATGATCAATTTAAAACTGTTACTGTAATTGTTAATACCTACTTTACAAGTTGGCGGCATTCTTTTTCTTGATCTTAGGTCATATTTAGGCGAATAAAGTCTCTATCTTCACAGTAGAGTTAGCATCTGAAAGTGAACTGTAAGTCCAGGGCAAAGCTGGCTACCGAATGTTCATTATAAGAGTTAGCAGCTGTGTGAATATGAACCTTATGTCCAGGGCAAAGCGGGCTACGAGCACAACATCTTCGACGACGCGCGCGGCAAGATGGACGCGCAGGCGTTCGGCACGCGCACGCTCGGGCCCTACGGCGACTCCAGCGCGCTCGGCGGCGCGCTCAAGTGGCGCGACGACCACGCGCAGGCCTCCTTCGACATCAACAAGCAGGTCCATGGACCCACCTCGGTTAGTACCACATCTTAGGGCAACTAAACTAGTAACTTCAATCAAATGAATCCCACTGTTATGGCAACTACTGTACCTTTCAATCAAATGACTGCCACTGCTGAACAAAAGCCCCTCAAGGATAAACAATTACCAGTCCTGCACCGCCCGCACCCAGGCACTTCCCGCGACCTTCACAAGATCGTCGGTCCACCAAGAGAGGCCCTAGCTCTTACCAGTCAACTTACATAATGTTTTTATCACAATGGGAAAGCTTTTGGCCTGCATCTCACCATCACTCTTTCAAGAGTGACTATCAGGCCCAAAGTTGAAGCTGAATTCTCAAACACTTAAGAGCTTCCCATTAACTGCCGAAACATAAATGTTGTAAACATTCTTGTTATGGCGACAGACTGAGGTAACATGGAGGAAGCAAGACAGACGGACTTAGATTAGAATAACCAGCAACTAAACCTAGCAGAAAATGTTGTCCCCACTGGAAATCGAACTTGGGACCTTTGGGTCTGAGACAGATGGTCTGGTATTCTAAACGAGGTTTAGACCATAATAATGATCATGCGTATTATAATTAAAAGGATAAGTAAAAATAAGTATATATTTGTCGTATACTTGGTGATTATTATCCTAAGTCCTCCTAGCTAACTACCACCATCTTACCCATTTCTATCAAACTCCAATAACATCTTTAATTTACTTACCATTTTCGCTTCCACAGTGGACCGCAGCCGGCGGCGGCCATTGGCCCGTAGGCAAGAATGGAGACTTCGGCCTGGAAGGCACCTACAGCCGCATGGCAGGCATGAATGACTACGGCGGCAGGGCTGTTTACAACTACCGCTGGTGAATGAAGCAATAGTATTGAGGCTGTTGTAATATCCATGTAAAGCGCCATCTAGTAGTCGATTGAAAAAGTAGTGTTGAGAGCCATCTTTAGTCTCTAATTTGCAAGGAAAGCGCCATCTAGTAGTCTATTAAAAAAGTAATATTGAGAGCCAGCTTTGGTCATTTAATTTACAAGGAAAGCGCCATCTAGTAATCTATTGAAAAAGTAGTATTGAGAGCCATCTTTAGTCGTCTAATTTGCATGGAAAGCGCCATCTATTGGTAATAATTGGTGTATAAACACACTTCTCACTGAATCCTTCATTGTTTCCGGCAAAACCCAGAGATGGCGCGATGGCGTAATTTTCCGAATTTTGATTTTCATGATAAAAAAAATATATTTATACTTACTATACTTTAGCGTTATAATTCTGTCCATTTATTATACTTACAAATTACAATGCATTTACAACTAGATAAGTAAGTAATTTTTCAGAGAACTGAATTTTGTAAATAATGTATTTTATTTGTAAATATTAGAAATTAATAAAAATTGGTTTTAGATAATACATTTTCTTTTTATTCCCTATTTAATCCTTCGTTTGAGACTGGACTTTAGACTATATTTCATGGGCAAAGAACAAAACACCGTACCTATTTATTCAATCCTTTATTTCCTCCATGCCGCATACACTATTTACAATACAAAACTATATTTAGTCATAATGTAAAACAGTAATATTCTTTGCGAAAACAATGGCTGACGAAATTATAATACACGACAGAAATCTAATTGAACGTGGCGAAAATAAAAAACCACATGCATTGTTTAGAATTCCCAGATTCAATTAGATACTAGTCGCAATTGTACAGTATGCAATAAAAGTCTGTCGTTTAAAAAGCATGCTCAGGCAGACTAATCATATAGCATTGAATTAGAGTGCACATTACCAGATGTTAGAAAACATTCTCGACACTTTTGATGCAGACTGTACAATAGATTTTAAACAGTTGAATATAAATTTTAATAGTCTCAGATTAAAATGACGTTCACAATTTAAGATGTTGATTTTGGATTATCTTGTGAAATTAAATTTTAAAAGCGCTGCAAAAATAAATGACTACAGAAGTATTATTCTGTTTTAGTTGGACTATAGTGATATTGCAATAGCACCAGTGCAATTAATCAGTATTCTGAAAGTTAGTTTGCAATAATATGGATCCATAGAGTGACAGTAAGCAGATTTACAATAAGTACCATGTTGTATACATTTTTATTGCAAAATACTACCGATTACAACTAAAGAACATAAAAAAGCCACAGTGGTTACGTTTGATGTGCCATCCATATCACATAGTAATATTCTAAAGCTAATTAAAGATTATCCAGAATCAACATCTTATATTTCTTTTATTTTGCTGGACGATACATTGAAACTCGAAAACACACGTTGAAGGCATTTTCCAAAACGCGCAAAAAATATACCGAAGCAAAATAAACACTACAAAATAAAACGTAAAATAAAGTTGTGTATAATATCGTTAACATAATAAAATCGAAATAAATATTGCCTCCTTAACTGCCTACGTAAACTAACTAAAAAAAACTAAACTTAAAATTTACTCCGTAATTTTAGCGTAACCCCAGGTTTTTAACTAAAACTTTTAATATTTACCAAATTAAAAACTAAAAATAAAATAATATACAAAAAACTAAACATTTACACGCTCGCAGCGAAGGCATTTTTAGTCAGAGTTTAAAATATTCCTAAAAGGAATAGAAAAGAAACTAAATACTATAAAAATGTATTTTCATTTACAAATGTCTATTACACTTGAATGAAACTACACTTAAACCTATGTTTGTACTATATTTCTTCTTTTTATGCAAAGGACCCATAATTTTAAAATGTTGCACCGGTAAATAAAATGACACCTAAAATAAATCCTAATTTTATAAAATATTTTTTCAAGCATTTTGTTGGTGGCAAGGAAAATAATTTTTAAATGCAGAATAAGTTGAAATGTAGTACTAAGTTATTTTATGAATGGCACTTATGTAATTCTATTTTATTTGGTCACAATAATAAAATCATAATATAAAAACCTCGCAAGACACACATAAACACGCACAAAATGCTATAAATATAATTTATACTAAAAGAAACTTAATTATTAACTATTATACTCTGTTAAATAATTGACATAATATGAATTCTGATAGAAATATAATTACAAAAACAAAATAACTTGCAAATAACACTGAAGAAAAATATTTTTCTCATATTATATCAATCATTACAAAATGACAATTTTAAAACTAAGAAAATATACTCTAAAGGCTTACAGCTAAATCACACATTATTTTTTATTTACACACATTAAAATTACTCATATAAAAACTTCGATCAATATCAAATTGACAATAATTTCCAATTTCACGTGAAAATGTATTTTATATTGTATTTAGTGACCTCTTAATAATACATAAGCGTAATTGAAAGATGTTGGTGCACTGCACCGGGAAATAAATAACGTGTAGGTATACATACTATACAGGGTGGAAACGTTAAGTGATCTCACTCGATTATTTCTAAACTATACAAGATATCCAAAAACTGATTACTGATCCTGAAAGTGCTTTATGAGCTCTATCCAACGGTACCAATAATAGGTTACCAAATAAACTGTATCTATCCGAAAATTCAATGTTTCCGGCTTCTATACATTTAGTAAAACCACATAATATTAAAAACTATACAAGATATCCAAAAACTGGTTACTGATCCTGAAAGTGCTTTACGAGCTCTATCCAACGGTACCAATAATAGGTTACAAAATAAACTGGATCTATCCGAAAATTCATTTTTCCAGCTTCCATACATTTAGTACTGCCACAGTCATGGCACTCATGTCTTGATAATATTATAGCAAGTAAAGCCTAAAACCAATGTTTTTCATGAATAATTTTAAATAAGAATGCAATTTGGAGTTCAATGTAAGTGTTTATTATTGAATAAAAAAAATAACACTTCTAACATTGTGTGGCTGGCATACATTTAGTATGGAGCCTGAAAACATTGAATTTTCGGATGGATCCAGTTAATTCTGTAACCTATTACTGATACCGTTTGAAAGAGCTCGTGAAGCACATTTAGGATCAATAACCAGTTTTTCGATATCTTGTATAGTTTAGAAATAATCGAGTGAGATCACTTATCGTTTCCACCCTGTATAGGTACCGTATTTTAAAGACACGAATCACTGTTGATCCATTCTGGAATAAAATTACAAGTATAGATCGTTTCATCCCCCACCAATTTTTGGTCGAGGGAAGAGCGGGGTGCGGGGAGTTTGATCCGAGCAATCAGAGCGTCATTATTGTAGTGTGCGTGTGCACTCATGGATAATTTAGCGTGTACCGATAACACTCAAACATTAGCGGAAGAATGGTAGGGCGTGTCTTCGTGGATGAAACGATGTATATAGCGCCTAAGGCACAGTTTTCACTAAGGTGGAGCGGAGCAGAGATGTGTTGTCAATAACCAATCAGATTTAATTATTCAGGAAACCAGGAAAACACTTCTCCGCTCTGCTCCGCCTCGGTGGAAACCGGGCCTTACTCGACGCAAAGACTCATGGCAGGCGGGGCCATAAGTAATTTTTGAAACAGTTGTGTAACGTCACCCATAACCAGTGTGTGTGAAAAAAAAGTGATATGCACTGTTTTACTATTACACCGCCTGTAACGAGTCTTTACGCCGACTATAACTGAGGTTTATGCGGTAGTGAAGCATTACGGGAGGGGTTACATAACAGAGCTGTCACGATCTGACGTCTCACTGACGTTTGACGTAATAAAACACACCCCTCCACACTGCTCCACTACAGCAAAAATCTACTCAGCTATGCGTTATACCTGTAAATTACTTTTATACATTTCAAATGGGTGGTAGGTATAATGAGTAGTTTTACTTTTTTATCCACAAGAAGCTCTTGGCCTGCAGCTGATCGAAAGTGATGATCAAGGGGCATAGTGTACGTCAAACGCATTCGATATAGACTGCGTGAAAAAGTGACATTAAATGTATGACGGATTGTACAGCGCCCCTAGCGGAAACTTTCAAGAACTAAAGTCTTCATATTTTTTAACGCGATATCGAGTGCTGATTTGACGTAAACTCACACTAAGCCCCCAGGACGAATGTGGAAGCGAGCTTCATACGGACATCTCAACTCAACCAGAATCCGCTTAAATGGCAATGCCAGATTTTGTATGGAAGGTGGCGTCTTTTTTTTTTCGCGCGGCCATCGACCAAACTTTGTTTTTCGATTACAAAATAGTGTAATAAATCAAACTTACTATTACATGTATACCTCTAAACTCAGTCTGAACTGAGTTACGAGCGTTATAAGTTTGATGATTTACATACTAGATTTGCTTTTTGCGCGCAAGTTTTGTAAGAAATTGCAACAAAATATTGCGCTATTTTTTTATTGCGCTGATTCTGCTCCACACTGATGTCTGGGGCGTTTAATGGATGGTATTGTTTGTTTACACATAAAATGTCACTATTTTGTTGCANGTAAGAAATTGCAACAAAATATTGCGCTATTTTTTTATTGCGCTGATTCTGCTCCACACTGATGTCTGGGGCGTTTAATGGATGGTATTGTTTGTTTACACATAAAATGTCACTATTTTGTTGCAATTTCTTACAAAACTTGCGCGCAAAAAGCAAATCTAGTATGTAAATCATCAAACTTCTAACGCTCGTAACTCAGTTCAGACTGAGTTTAGAGGTATACATGTCATAGTAAGTTTGGTTTATTACACTATTTTGTAATCAAAAAACAAGGTTTGGTCGATGGCCGCGCGAAAAAAAAGACGCCAATTTCCGGCATTGTCTTTTAACATCTAATACATCAGAAATGGATCGGAGTTCTTGGCTGTAGGTAAGTGTTGTAACTTAAAAGTTAAGGGATCGAGGTTTGAGGGCCGTCTTCCTCAAGTACTGGTGAGCAAGCACTGTCAATTCAAGTTGGTCTTGAGTCTTGCCACACGCGAAAATCTCCCATTTATCGTCCTTGTCACCCTGAAATATTACCACAATATTGTGTCAAATTCGCATTAGGAAGTTTGAGGTCAAACAATTTTTACAATTTATACTTCTTTTTGGAGTTTTAGTGATCTTTCTTTCATTTAACTTCTTAGCAATTTCTTAATAATTGGGTCCTAAAACTAATGGCAATGAGTACGACTGTTGTAAGGAGTGTAATTATTCTTTTTTTTTATGGACCTTGTATAAACTAAACTAAAATATATTTTTATACAAAACAAAAACAATTGCTTAACACCGTTTGAGCGAGCGAATGTTTTGTCATGTTGCTCTGATGAGAGACAGAACAGTGAATTATACAGTGAATTATTACTGTTATGTATATTGTTTTAGTTTTTAGTCATGTATAGTATTCATTTCTTGTTTATTCAGTGGCGTAGCTTGGGGGGGGCAGGGGGGGCCATGGCCCCGGGCGGCATATGAAAGGGGGCGGCGGATAAGAAAAAAAATATTAGCACGAAAAAAACATTAACAACAGCACGAAGAGTACATTTTTAATCTATTTTTTTAAGTAATAGTAACAAAAATATTTAAGGAGCTTACTTACCCCTCTAAAACTTGCGCCACAGATAATCTTTCGTGATTTCTCTTGTTACAAACCGAAATAAAAAAGTGGTTTGTAAATAGTTAAAGCCATATCTAAGCTACTTTTAAAACCGTGTATTTATTATATTCTGCAAGTTCGAAATTCAAAATTAGCTAAAATGGTAACTTTTAGCAGTAATTAAATCTGTAACTTGCTGCAAATATCTAATGAATTCAAACAAATTATTTTACAAAATAGCTTTGATACATATTATACATTTTTCAAACCACTTTTTTTAATTTCGGTCTATAACAAAAGTAATCAAGAAAAAATATGGTGGCGCTGGTTAGCTAGGGTACAACCCTTAATAATATTAAGCACATATGTTATTCCTTCTAAGTTCAATGAGCACTATATACAGGGTGGAAACGATAAGTGATCTCACTCGATTATTTCTAAACTATACAAGATATCAAAAAACTAGTTACTGACCCTGAAAGTGCTTCATAAGCTCTATCAAACGGTATTAATAATAGGTTACAGAATAAACTAGATCTATCCGAAAATTCAATGTTTCCAGCTTCCATACATTTGGTAAAGTCACATTATTTTAAAAACTACACATGATATCGTAAAACTGATTACTGGTTCTAAAAGTGCTTCACAAGCTCTATCCAATGGTATCAATATTAGGTTACAGAATAAACTTGATGTATCCAAAAATTCAATGTTTCCTTCTTTCATGCATTTGGTACTACTACCACAGTCATGACACTCATCTCTTGACAATATTATAGCAAGTAAAGCCTAAAACCAATGTTATCCATGAATAATTTTAAACAAGAATACAATTCATGAGTTTATTTGTAGAGTTTATTATTCAATAAAAAAAACAAAATTCCTACGGGAACGGGAATTAGCGAGAAAAAACATTTGTATGAAAAAATCTAAGCCACGTAAGATAGACGCTTAAAATTTGGCATGCAGGTACCTTAGTAAACTTAAAGCTTAGTTACAACAGGATATTGCAAAATTCCCACGGGAACTGGAATTAGCGGGAAATTCCTTTTGTATGACTGACTTACTGACATACCCACGCACAGCCTAAACGGCTAAACGTAGGCACTTGAAATTTATAAGGGACGTAGCTTAGGTACCGTAGAGGTGCACTAAGAAAGGAATTCCCGAAATTCCCCCAGGAACAGGAATTACCGGGAAAATCCTTTTGTATGAAAAATCTAAACCGCTTAAGTTAGGCATGCAGGTCCCTTAGTAAACTTAAAGCTTAGTTACAACAGGATATTGCAAAATTCCCACGGGAACGGGAGATAGCGGGAAAAACATTTGTATGAAAAAATCTAAACCGCGTAAGATAGATGAAGGGGGTAAAACGGGAACCACGCGTACGAAGTCGCGGGCGGCCGCTAGTAATTAAAATAAAGGGCGGCGGATTTCCGGATGGCCCCGGGCGGCGAAAAGCCACGCTACGCCACTGTGTTTATTACACACATTTATATGCCTTGTGTGTCCATAGTATAATTTTCTTGCTATGTTATAATATTCTGTGGTAATACTAACCAATAAGAAAGACACCGGTTTCTCTTCAACATCTTCCTCGAACTTGATGGAGCGCACTGCTGACTTCTTGATGACTACCATCTCGTCGGAGGTCCGCTTCACCTATAAGACATTTTGTGTAATCGTCTACTAGTTTGTTTCATTTTATATGCAAATATAGGCTTTCTTAATACTCGTGATAGTGAGATAAGCCTTTGATCTACACTGTTCAGTCCCATTTATTGTTCTAGTACTTATGTTTCTATTTTTTTTAGTTTTTTTTTTATACATAACAAAGCAGATATTTGGCCACAATCGATGCAGTCTAGGATGGTACATATCTGCCCTGTAAGTGCCTATTCACTCTCGCCTTCAAAAGGCTATTGTTATTTAAAAAAGCCAAGTCAAGCTCAATTTGAGAAATTGAGATTATTGACTTGAGCGTGCTCATCTTCTAATCAAAAATTATTTTTTCATACTAAATTCATTCTTTTGTACAAGATAAGCACGCTACAGCTAAAAATCTCAATTACTAAACTAGCCCATAGTAGTAACTTATTTTGTTTTATTGCATGTTATTTCGATCATTTCTTTTAAATTCATTCAACAAGTTTAGTGTTCAAAAAATGAGGTGAAAGTTCTGCCAAGTTTATGAGTGAATAATGTTGAATAAGGACATGGAATTCATTTTCAAAACATAATACGGTATGTTATCAGTGTGTAGTTAATTTGATTTAAGATCCACTATCCTTGGGATAGAAAGGACTAAAATCCGTTTCATTTTATCATTAGTAGTGAGTTATTATCTACGTTTAATTTCTCTAAAATGCAGTCGCCAAAGATCAGTCAGTATTACACGGTACAGTCGCTAACAGATCAGAATTAACATTTTCATTTCAAATTCGAACCTACTGCAACGAAATAAGATGCTACATTGTTAAGCTTGATCTGCTGTCGCCGGCACAAGCCGTCAAGTTATCCATCCCTAATTACTAAAAGCTACCAGGAACGCAAATCTGTGGATCTAATATCAATTACAATAATAATGCAGAACTTTCCCTATGAAAGGTTAAGGCAGCAAGAAAAAATAAACCAAAGTATACTGTGAAAATACATTTATTGAAATAAAAAATGACATTGGATCAACTTTTGGACAGTGGATTGGATCACAAGCAATATTGACAGTGACACTATACTAACTCAAAATAAAAAGTAAAAAAAACACAATTTGTAAAATACAAAATGTTACCATAATACAACTATAGGGCCTACCACTACAGAATAAATTAAAACAATTTATATAAATCATAAATAGTAACAAAAAACAATCACTTCAACAAGTTTAAATAAATAAGTTTTAAAAATAAGAAAATATGTAGATTCAACACTGGTCTGTCAATATTGTGATAGGATAGGACATCGGAAGGACGAAGGCAAAGAAAGGAATTTGGGGCAGGATAATGTCATTTATTTATTTCAAATAAAGTATAAATTAAGTATAGCTGCCGATTTGTATAAAAATGTTAAAAATTTAACAAAAAAATGATCGAAATAAATAACTTCACAACCGTTGCGACAGCAAACGAAATTTTTAATGTACGAAAAGTGGGTCTTTATATTATTACTACTTCCACAAATATTATGTAAAAATTTACAAGAATGTTGTAAAACCAAAGGTGAATATCGATGCGTTCGCATAAGAATACAATAAAGAAAACACAACTATTTCTTCAGATTATTTAACGTATTTTATGACACAACACCCAGTGTATTTGACAATTTATTTATGGAAGTGCTAACAATATAACACGTTTTAACCAAAGTTCGACGTAACCCACTTTCCTTGTCATAAAATGTTATACTTTAATGCAAATTACAAAGCAAAATACTATTATTAATAGACTTTCTAAATAAATAAATACAGGGGTAGGATAGGTGGCCTAACACAGGGATTCGTTAGTTCCTACCTAGGTTTCAACATTTTTGGCTCAGAGGAATTTAGTCCTTACAGCCACATTTTAAAATACTGCAAGCGAAGTTATCTCCGTGCCTTCTATATTTTTAGTCGCAAATCAATCTACCACAAACTGATCAATGTGCTGAGACTATTTGACACCATCTATACTAATATTATAAAGGCGAAAGTAACTGTCTGTCTGTCTCTCCTTCACGCCTAAACCACTGAGTCAATTTTGATAAAATTTGGCATAGAGGTAGTTTGAGTCCCGGGAAAGGACGTAGGATAGTTTTTATCCCGGTTTTTGAAACGGGAACGCGCGTGATACAGTTTTTCTGTGACAGACAAAATTCCACGCGGGCGAAGCCGCGGGCGGAAAGCTAGTTCCCCAATAATTCGAAATCACAACTTTTTTAAAAAGACACTTCGTTCTGGTCTTAAAAAGTAATTTTAAATTACCTGTAAATTAATGATTTTTGGTTGATTTGCAAGGAATAAAATTCAAAATGCTTTGAGAAATTAATCATTTTGTGGCAGATACATCTGCAGATGACCCTACTTGTTTTTTGTTACTACGCCGAACAAGTATTTAAATCTAAAACCCTATTTAATACTTGAAATCCTTAAAAAAGACGAAATCCTAACTAATAACACTAAAACAATTTGGTGCATGGTAAACTTGAGGTATACTTTTTGCATTAAATTAACTAAATTAAATTTTAAAAACTAAACTTCACCAATATATTAATTAAATTCACAACGATATTCATTTGATGAAAATTTCATCTTTGGTTACTTACGACCTAATCTCGTTTTACGTTAAAATTAGTTTTAGTTTGGTGCTCTTATAAATACTATGAAATGCTAAAATTAAAAACGCGAATTAATATTACTTTTATGTTATATCCAAATTTTTTGTAAATTCATTCGAGAAATTATACGAAAATCACGAAAAAAATTAACACGATATTAAAATTATAATTGCGTCGTCGCGTCGCCAACATACCTATTACTAAAACTTATCAAAAACGTTCAATTTCTTTCATTTCAAAATATTTTAGTGTTTATTATGTGTTATTTTAGTTTATTTACAAAACGCAATAAAGTTTTTAGTTTTCAATTAATTGAAAATTAGTATTAGTTTTCATTTATTTGAAAATTAGTTTTAGTTTTCATTTATTTTATCATTTAGTTTTAGTTAAGTACGATAAGCTTCACTAAATTAACTCTTAGTTAACATTGTACCATAAACAATTTAAAAAAAAATCCTACACACATTATGGTCATTCCCCATACCCAGTTCCGAATATAAAATAATCGTTCGGATAAATTTCTTCATTTTGATTAGTTTTCTCCATTTGCCACCACTGGTTTTCTTTGTCTACATATTCATTAGGTTTGTTCCCCATGATCTTATTCGTTAATATTTCGTCTATACGAGACGTGGAAGGCTTTTGATTGGTGACTTTATAGATGTGGTCAGCAAATGCATTGGCTAATACTTCTTTAGGCGCTATCAGATTACTCTCGCACGCTAACTCGTTTGATGACGTAATAGTCCTTAGCCTATCCGCGTTCAACCTTGCAAAACTCCGCGGGGACTCATTAGTAATATCTCTAAATACGGTTTGGTTATCTAAATTCGTATAGTTTTGGTTTGTTTCATTACTGTATTGGTTCTCGTACATTTGGTATATTAATCGGTCGGGTAAGTTAGGTGTGGGATTAGTAGGGATCGAGGACCGGTGTTGTACCTTAGTTTTTTCGGTGATCACGGATTCTATGTCCAGGTCTTCGTATTTCGTATCCGGGGTGTTTTCAGCTGAGATTAGGCTGTGGAGACTGGTGGATTCTTCTAGAAGGGAGTGCTTGACTATCGAAGGTGGGGAGAACATGACCGAGCTGTCACCGGCCAGCGTTTTACTCTGAAACAATTCATTTAATAGAATAATATTAATCTTGTCAAAGCAGTATTTTTTTATTTTTAACTGGGCAGTGAATTATCACTAGTGGTGGTAGTGAATGGCAATGGTCCAGCCAGTGCTGAGTTGAAGCAGCCAAAGTAAGAAATGGCAATGCCAGATTTTGTATGGAAAGTGGCGTCTTTTTTATTTCGCGCGGCCATCGACCAAACTTTGTTTTTTGATTACAAAATAGTGTAATAAACCAAACTTACTATGGCATGTATACCTCTAAACTCAGTCTGAACTGAGTTACGAGCAATAGAAGTTTGATTGTTTTCATACTAGATTTGCTTTTTGTGCGCAAGTTTTGTAAGAAATTGCAACAAAATATTGCGCTATTTTTTTATTGCGCTGATTCTGCTCCATACTGATGTCTGGAGCCTTTAATGGATGATATTGTTTGTTTACACATACAATCTCACTATTTTGTTGCAATTTCTTACAAAACTTTGCGCGCAAAAAGCAAATCTAGTATGAAAATCATCAAACTTCTAATGCTCGTAACTCAGTTCAGACTGAGTTTAGAGGTATACATGTCATAGTAAGTTTGGTTTATTACACTATTTTGTAATCAAAAAACAAAGTTTGGTCGATGGCCGCGCGAAAATAAAAAAAAATCTTTGAACATCAAGTGCCTTTAAATAGTTTCCATCCTTTGACTACAACTTAATAAAAATAAGTACCATAACATAATTATTTTGAAGATTATTTGATATAGACAAAAAATAATTTATACAAATCGAATTATTTAAAAAAGTATCACAATATTGAATATTTGGTGCTCATTTCTTTTATTTTTGAGGACCAACAAGTAACGATCAGATATAATTTTTACATCTCAAATTTTTTTTGCGTAGTTCAAAAGAGGTTAAAATATCGATCGATTTTATTTATTTTATGTCTCAAAGAAAGAGGATCAATCATTAAAATAGATGACCATTTAGATTTTTTTATTTGCCGTTTTTGCTAATTTAAAAAGATCATTTAAATACATGCCAAATTCTAAATATTGGAACTCGAAAATTACAATAGGCCCCTTTTTAAAGATTAATATCATAGTGTCTATAATATTTTAGGTCCACATGTACATATTGTGTTGCTTTTATAGGAATCCGTAGCTAATTGTGATAGTAGCCCAGCTGTAAGCATCCCGGCCCACGCATGGGCTTCGCAAGGACACCGGCGTCTCTCTATGAACAACACCCCGTGCCCGATGCTCTGGTTCTAATGTACATGTAGCATGCTGAAGTCCGGTCGCCGAGCGCGTAGAATTTCGCCCTATGACCCCAAGCTACCCATCCTTATCTCTCGCGCGTAATTGTATCGCGTATATTGCTGTCGCGACTGTGCGACGGGCGGACGCAGTACTTTAGTGTTCGAGTACGAAATTCTATCTTTTTTTTTATCCACAACGAGGAAGCTCTTGGCCTGTATCTCACCTGATGGTAAGTGACGATCAGGCCAAAGGTGGAAGCGAGCTTCACCCGGAATCCTCAACCACGGAGGAACTGGCTATCTTAGCTCTAACTGCCGGAACACAATAATGCTGGGAATCGAACCCAGGACCTCTGCGTCTGAAGCAGGTGGTCTTACCACTAGACCACAGAGGCGGTATCTGCTTGGCGACCGGACTTTAGTAGCCTTTGGGCATCAATCTACTCACCGGTGTCTCCACAATAAACGACACTTCAGGCACCAGGCTCTGATTAGAATGCGCGTGCGGCGTGCTAGTAGCCGCTCCCCAGCTATTCGCCAGAGCCTTTCTGGCTTTCTTGTGGACCGTCCCCGGAACGTTTTCCTTGCCGGTTTGCGACGTTTCGGACACGCGACGCTTCAGGCTGCCTATACCGGAATCGTTGTTTACCTGGAAATGGGAAATAGGTTTTAGTTTTGTGATAGAAAAACTAAGTTTTGTTTTAGCATCCCACAAATGGAACGGAACAAACATTTATTATGAAACGCATAGTGATGAGTTTACATATCGCCAACTTGATACCTAATATGATGATGAGGATTACAAATCATCATTCCTCTATTTTAAACCACGTATTTTTTGCGACATAAGGTACCTTCATCAGTCCGTAGTTTGGTTGTTAAATTTAAGTAGTAGTGGGCGGGGTACATAGCTCGTAAGGCAGATGGCCGTTAGGGCAGGAAAGTTATCTCGTGGCTCGGAAGACGTAGTGTGGGCAGGCCTCCCACTAGGTGAACCAACGATCTGGTAAAGGTGTAGATGTATCTGGATGCGGGAAGCGCAGGACGAGTCGTTGTGAAAATCCTTGGGGGAGGCCTTTGTCCAGCCTTTTCATTAATAACGTCATTTGGGTTTGTAATAGACAGTTTGACACCATACTCCAATAATTCGAAACCACAACCGTTTTAAAAAGACCCTTCGTTCTGGTCTTAAAAACTTACAGCCTTACTTATAAACGTTTATTAAAATCGATCGCCCCGGGTGCCAACCCATGCTACGCCGCCACTGAATACCTGAATACACCACATGTTACGTCGGCGAAACACTAAAAAGACTTGAGTTAAACATTCCGACAATAAAATCCTAATGGCTTCCTAAGGGTGCATGTGCGTGAGAAACTACAATTACCATGCCTTAAAATTGCGCTAAAACTAACAAAGCATTTACATCTTAAGTTTGTACAAGAAGTATTACAATTATCTAGTGTATAATTACTATAATTGGTACATAATTTTAATATGGCGTATGTGGGACATAGTCGCCACAGTACTTTTGTTTGTTTGTTGTTGTAGACTTGACATTTGACTGACAGACAGCGTTTCATTTGACATAACTTTGACGTTTATTATTCTTAATTTTAGCATTGGCTTTCGGCATTTTGGCATTAGAACTGGTCTGAAGTTCGGTTCAGGTGGAGTTAAAAAAGAAACACTCTAATTAACAGTTGATTAGTTAAGTGACGCTTAAGCAGTGTTTATAAGTGAGAAATATTTAATTAATGATTAAGAAGTTAACGAGTCATTAGTTAATTAGTTGCTCAGACGTTGATTAGTTGATTTTTATAAGTAAGGCTGATAATTTATTTTAAATTACCTGTAAATTACGATTTTTGTTCGCATTGTAATTGAAAAAAGTAGTTTAATTGAGTTGACAAAATAGTGACGTCACTTGCTTGTAGTGCCATACAAAATCTATGGGAGAGTTTTGTTTTGGTAGTTTTAAAAAGTACGTCAATTGACTGGTGGATGGTGTCAACATGTCTATTTAAGTAGGATTTTTTGAAACTGACCTGTACATTGGCAGCATCTTGGTCAGCAATAGACGATAGCAGTGAATCGTTCAGTTGCACAGTGCTGTCGGAATTCTCCTCGCGTTTGATCATCTCGGTGATATCTTCTACTAGTAGACCAGGGCTGGAAGGTTCGTAGTTCAGTCCGGACTTTTTGCCTATCTCTGCCATCGCAATTTTGAAGGGGGTTGGCGTTCTGGAAAATGAAATAAGATATTAATAAATAACATCTCTTATTATACTCCTATAGTGAGAAAGCCAATAGGTAGTTTAAGTTAAGCGACGGATTATAGACAAAAATCTCGAGAGGAAGGCTATGAAATAATCAATATCTATTCAGTTCAGGTGTTTGATTATTTGAGTTCTTTCAATTCTACGTCATATTAATTTGAATTGTTTTAAAATTAGTGGAAGTTAATTAAAAAACAGTGGTGTTAAACATTCGGGAACTATGTACGTATATCCAACATTGGCCAAACGTAGGCACAATAAAGGTCATAGCAGACTTATCAACTCGGAAAGGGACCAACACCGTATCGCCCGTCTCGAAACGCTGGTAGGGTAAAAAGATTATGAGACATGTAGAGGCTCCTTAAGAGCAAAATGACGATTTGTAAGAACTGTTTATTAGTCTAAACAAATAAAGAAATTTTGACTTTTTTTTTCGAGCTGTCCTCGCCTTTCGCGCGCTGTCAACCGCGAGACGAATCGTTTACTTTACGGTGCGGATAAGTGTGCGTTGCAGTATGGAGTTTCATACAAAGAATACTGACCGCCCCGAGCTGATAAGGTTACGATCCCTTTCGGGTTGAGGGTGCTAGGTACGACATAAAAAACGATTTAAAACCAGGTATTATCAACTTACTTGGGAGTCGCGTTATTCCTAAGATTGCTGTTGTTTCCTGGTGTGATATTAGCTGGGGTTGGAGTGTGCAGCAACGGACTGGCCGTCCAATCCTGGATGAGAAACAAACAACATTAGTTATTAAAAATACAGTAGAATCTCGATTATCCGGACTTCGATTATCCGGATATCCGGACTCATTCTTCACGGTTTGTAATTACCGATTTAGGGTCTGGACCCATAAAAACGGAAGGCGCCGCCACCGTAACACGGTACGGATGTCGTCTTAGTTCATTGTTAAAAGAAGTGGATTCATCCAATAATGGTCTAAAATTTAGATTTTTAGACTCTAAATGATGTATTGAAAACCCTTTCTATTGTAAAAATAACTTTTTATTAACATTATTGTTTGATTTTACTTTGAAATCGATTATCCGGATTTTCGATTATCCGGAACACCCCTGGTTTTAATTGATCCGGATAATCGGGATTCTACTGTATTCCGTAAGATTGGAGAAGTGATATGTAAAGATATTTCTTTTGTACGCTGTGAAATGATGTGCTTTATTAAATATTGTTTGGTAGGTATGAAGAAAGTAAAAACTGTGTGCTTCGTGCGAGTTTGCGTTGAACGTCGCCTCGTCGCTAGCGAGTGCGCTAAAAATCTATGAAGATTTTAGTTCTTGAAAGTATCCGCTAGGGACGCTGTACAATCCGTCATACATTTAGGCTGGGTTGCACCATCTTACTTTAACATTAACAAACGTCAAAAATCTGTCAAACGCCATACAAAAAGCACCGGTTATCGTGATAGTTACTGTTAAAATAAAGTGGTGCAACTCAGCCTTAATGTCATTTTTTAAGCAGTCGCTAGCGAAGACGTTTAATTTGATGTAAACTCGCACTAAGCCCCCAGAATGTGGAAAGTCGATCCTTTACTTCGAAATCCTTTGTTCTTCTAATAAATTTCCAATTACAGTTTAATTTTCCGTCGGGACCAACTTGACCTTCATTGGTTGGGTTGTTATTGGCGGTCAAGCTGTAGATCCTGGATACACAGAAGTTGCAGCGGTGGGAAAGAGTTGGAAATAGGCCCCATCTCTGCTATCAATCACACTCAGAGTGAGTCCTGACATAAAGACAATGACCCGTCACTCACTGTGCTGCAAGGGCCTCAGGAGAGTGAATTCCCTCGAACTGAGAGAGACTGAAGTGCAGCGCTTTGATGGGAGTCACTCCGCTGTCACTCAGAGTGAGTCCTGACACAATGATCCGACACTCACTTTGTGCTGCGAGGGCCTCAAGGGAGTGAGTTCCCTCGGCGCGAGGCCTCCGGGCGAGTTCAGGAACTGCGAGGGACTGAAGGGCAGCGCTTTGATGGGAGTCACTCCGCTGTCACTCAGAGTGAGTCCTGACACAATGAGCCGACACTCACTTTGTGCTGCGAGGGCCTCAAGTTTAACCGCCTCTGTGGTCTAGTGGTAAGACCACCTGCTTCAGACGCAGAGGTCCCGGGTTCGATTCCCAGTGGGGGCAGATTTTTCTGTTCGGTTTGGTTGGTGGTAGGGCTTGTTCTAAGTCCGCCTGGCTAGCTACCACCATCTTACCTAAGTCTGTCGCCATAACAACAATGTTAACAGCATTGTTGTGTTCCGACAGTTAGAGGTAAGATAGCCATTTTCTCCGTGGTTGAGGATTCCGGGTGAAGCTCGCTTCCAACTTCGGCCTGATCATCACTTACCATCAGGTGAGATACAGTCCAAGAGCTTCCTCGTTGTGAATTNTGTGAATTAAAAAAAAAAAAAAGAGTTCCCTCGGCACGAGGCCTCCGGGCGAGTTCAGGAACTGCGAGGGACTGAAGGGCAGCGCTTTGATGGGAGTCACTCCGCTGTCACTCAGAGTGAGTCCTGACACAATGAGCCGACACTCACTTTGTGCTGCGAGGGCCTCAAGGGAGTGAGTTCCCTCGGCGCGAGGCCTCCGGGCGAGTTCAGGAACTGCGAGGGACTGAAGGGCAGCGCTTTGATGGGAGTCACTCCGCTGTCACTCAGAGTGAGTCCTGACACAATGAGCCGACACTCACTTTGTGCTGCGAGGGCCTCAAGGGAGTGAGTTCCCTCGGCGCGAGGCCTCCGGGCGAGTTCAGGAACTGCGAGGGACTGAAGGGCAGCGCTTTGATGGGAGTCACTCCGCTGTCTCTGCCTTCAAACGCTCGGAGGGTGTCCGACCATGGCTGGAAGGAGAAAGCTATACGTTAGTATGATTGACAAATTACGTAGGTAGTCTGTAAAAACAATTTTCTGGAAGTTATCACCTATTAGAATCACACTAACCACCATAAATAAATTTACAACCGAAACTGTAAAGCTACTGAACGAATTTTGATGATATTATAATATTATCGCTACGTATTCGTTAGACTATAATTATTTAGTTACTTTTTTTCGAAACCTACGTTTTAGAAGTCAAAAACTTGTATGAATTAATCAATCGAAAAAACTCAATGAAATAATAACCACTGGTCCAATACTCATAACTCACATTATGGACTACTTTTTACAGAAATCTACGCTTACGAAATTGCAGGGAAAAACAACTCTTTTTATATAAAAAAATAACCAAAAACACCTAATTGAATTAATAAAGATGATAAATAATAAAATGTAACCAGCGATACAATACTTTAACTCACATTACTAGGGTTGGGCGTGAGCATTTTCTTCGGTTTTCGCCTCAGTATGGGAGGGGGACTGTTGGTTTCCATAGACTTCTTCTTGGGGGACGAATACACTGACGGCACCACGATTTCTTTGATGCCTTCCGACTGGACGGAGTATGTTACTGCAAGAAAATAAATTATTCGTTCGTCGGCCGTTTGGTGTAGTGGTTCAGAACGGACTACTATGCCGAGAGGTCCCGGGTTCGATTCCCGGCCGGGCAGAAATTGAAATGATGAATTTTAATTTCTGTGACGGGTCTGGGTGTTTTCTATGTATAATATGTATGTATTTACAAAAAAAAAAAGTATATAAGTATGTTTATCCCGTCGTCTAGTACCCATAGTACAAGCTTTGCTTAGTTTGGGACTAGAGGCGCAGTGTAAAATGTCCAAGGATATTTATTTATTTATTTATATTAGTATTTAAGAAAGGGAAAAATATGCGAGCTTCAGGCTTCGCCAAACTGTATGGCCATTGGCCAGCGTTAGAAATATAGACCAAAACCTTCCAACAAAATTCCTGTTATGTGTTACCTTAGGGGTCACTTAAAAATGGGGGTTGATGGTGAAAACGGGCATAAATTACTTGATTATGATGATGATAGCATTAGTTTTGTAAGTATAGCAATAAGTTAAAAAAATGAGTTCACTATGGGACAAAATTACTTTCAAATAAATCTTTGGTTTGATTGTAGATTCACTGGGTATTTAGGACCCTAGGGAATTACATAAATTCAAGATTTTTTTCATGTTACTAAGATAAGTCACAAATTATTAATTACCTCCATTAGAGTTTTCCTGGTTATTCTCTTCTGTGGGATACGTTTGACTTAAATAACTTCTAATAGGAGAGTTTGTTGGCAACGATTCGATGTTGATGAATCTGTAAAGAAATTAACATTTAGCGAGTCAGTTGAGCATTACTTCAAGATTTAAGGAAATCAGTTTAAGGGTAGAATTAGCAAAAGATTGCATGTAACAGTATATTATCTGTGGTGTAACTGACAGATCAAAATTGATGGAACATTAAACAAACAAAGTCCAACTCGAAGGGTGGTTTGCCTTCACAGTTGTCGCACATGTTTATAGCGTCCAGTATCTTAAACTTATGTCACTTCTGTGGTCTTGTCAGCAAGCATTTGTGAGACATTTGTGTGGTCAGATTCGTGTTTTCGAAATTAACGAGTTGCTCTTTGAAGTCGCTTAAAGCATCCAAGCTGCCAAAAGAAAAGTTGCAACATTGGCAACTTACTAATCATGTAGGAGCTTCGCTCTCGTCAGCTAGTATAAAATCACCCTGATCAGGCGACTGTTGCCTCGTCAGCTGCTGTAGTATAGCACACTGACTGACGCACGTATTCACAAGCGATGCTTGCTTTAGTCAAGCAGCAAACCGAACGCACGACGATGAATAGAGCTGTGATATGTTCGTGTATCACCCTGTGCGTCTACGCGCACTGTGAGACCTCATAGTAGAGGTCGGGCGACTTTTGCCTCGTCAGCTGCTGTAGTATAGCAACTGTGAGTCGCTCGCTACACTCACTTGACGCGGCTGCGGTCGGGCGACTGTTGCCGCGGTCGGCCGACTGTTGCCTCGTCAGCTGCTGTAGTATAGCACACTGAGTCGCTCCACTCACTTGAACAGCCGCGGTCGGGCGACTGTTGCCGCGGTCGCGCGACTGTTGCCTCGTCAGCTGCTGTAGTATAGCACACTGAGTCGCTCCACTCACTTGAACAGCCGCGGTCGGGCGACTGTTGCCGCGGTCGCGCGACTGTTGCCTCGTCAGCTGCTGTAGTATAGCACACTGAGTCGCTACACGCACTTGAACAGCCGCGGTCGGCCGACTGTTGCCTCGTCAGCTGCTATAGTATATCACACTGACTGAGTCGCTACACTCACTTGACGCGGCCGCGGTCGGGCGACTGTTGCCTCGTCAGCTGCTGTAGTATCGCACACTAAGTCGCTCCACTCACTTGAACGGCTCGTGCAGGATCTCAATCTCGTCGGCGGGCACGAGGGCGCCGCGGTCGGGCGACTGTTGCCTCGTCAGTTGCTGCGTGTGTTGAATGCTGTTCAGTTGTTCCTTGAGCACTCGTCGGAAGTGCAGCACTGTGCTTGGCGTTTGGCTGGTTGATGAGGAGTTGCTTTGGGTGGACTCGTTGAATGGGTCCGTCCATGACTGGGTAGAGAAAAAAGATTGTGAGTAATAAAATTAAACTTTCATCAAACTCTATTTCTCATTATTATTGTTAACCATAAACTCTGATCTATTGTTACTTGTGATTCAAAGTTATGAAACTATTGGACAAGTAATTTAATATTTGAATTTAAATTCTTATTTTGCAAAAAAAAAGGATTTATAAACACAAATATTACGTACATTTATTTATCCCGAACTCATATGTTAGGTACATACTAGCTTCTATGCTTTAGCAAAAATGTTTTAATTTTGAAAGCAACGATTGATAAAGTTTTTAGTTCCGTTAAAAGTTATACTATTTTTTAAATCTAACTAATTTATTAAATCAATCCACACGACACTGCAATAATTTACACGCAAAAACATAAAACTACAGAGCTAAAACTACATAAAAAAACACAAAACAATTTATCACATACACTATTTACAGAAGTGATATGTACAGCTTTAGAAATAGTACACAGAATGGCACAACAAATATGTAACTTAATGACCTTGTCACCACCTTTACTCTCCAAGAAATAAGGGTTACTTTTAAAATGAAAATGTTAAGATTTATGTAGTAAATTACCAATGTGAAACGTCAACTAACAAAGCCCACAAAAACAATAGACAACTATGTATTAATTTGTGCACAAAAGCATTGTGAACTGCATGAAAAGAACATTGCGAAAAAGACAAGATCAGAAAACCGGTTCATTTATCATTATAACTTATTAAATTATTTCAAACTTAGTTACACAGAAAAATAATGCAATGAAGAGGCATTTTCTTTAATTATTTTTTTAAAATGGTGTAACGATTTTCTGATCTATAGAATAGAGTGTGAGAGAAATCGATGGTTAATATTTATTTTACCTCTTTTGACTCGATATCTTTCCCATAACGACCACTTTGGCTTTTGCTGTTAAATTAAAATTTAGTAAAGATTTTATAACGACATAGACACGGACTAAATCAAATTAACCTTGAAATGTAAAAATATCTGCAAGTATTCAGTGCTTTTATTTATTAAATTATATCTAGCTAGTAACTAGCTTTTAGCATGCCTATAAATAAACTGTGTCATTACGAGTTGAAGAAGTGTTTGCACGCACATTTCTATAAACATGGCATTATGACATTTATCTATTCTCTCTTACTATAATGGCGCGTAGAAAATCTATTGTCGCTGACACGTATTTGCGAACGTTCATAAGGCTTAAAATCGCAAGAGCCAAAGTGCCCAAAGTGTGTGTAAAGCAAAGCAAACCCACTAACATCGTTGTATGCAACTTGGACTTTCTCGTCTGCCCTTACGTCTCGCTTGGGCCGCTTTCGTCGGAGGCACTCGTACGAATCTATCATGTCTGGCTCGTACTTCCTACGCATTGTTGAGTTCCAGTGGTTCTTTATGGCGTTGTCAGTTCTGTAGGAGATAAAAAATTCATAATTAGAATCATGATAAAATCTTATCGATTTTAGACGACAAATGTTTATCGTGCAAATTGATAAAGTTTATCACGGCGCGCATCCTTGGCCGGCAGAAGCAGGTCACTAATTAGTCTACACTGCAGGCCCCTCTAAAATTTACTAGAAGCAAAGGTGCATTCTTCAGGAGTAAGTTCTGTGATTATTGTAGAGAAGAAAAATAGAGGATGAATGTTTGGATGGGAATCAATATTTTCTGAAGTAAGGAATTAAAGTTTATATTTATTCTTTTGATGAAAAATCAAGTGATTTTTATCGATTGTGTCTTATAAGTGGTCAGAATGGCGATCATTATTCATTATACAACATTATAGATTGTGAGGGTTTGTATTGTACAGAAGACAACACATCAAGCACAACTTATCTTTTGTTTACAATAAGTTCTATTTTGCAACGAAAATAAGCCGAATGTGCTGTCTAATGTGGGGACAACGGCACATCAAGCCGTGTGGTGACGGCAGAGTAGAATACATTTGTCACCAACCCCTACTCTTCCCGCGGGTGTCGTAAGAGGCGACTTAGGGACTACACATCAAACAGAGAACGGGCAGCAGCGCTCTCTGAAAAACACCAATCTTTTAAACTGCAATCTCCAACCCGCCTGCCAAGCGTGGGGATCATGGCAAAAGCCTCCACTATACAGTGCGAGTCACGTTAAAGTGTACATATGAAAATAGATGAAACTAGACCTATTTTTATCGACAAAAAAGAGGTTAAAAATTTTTTGAGATTTTTTTTTAATTTTTTATAGAATTTTTTTTCTACCAATTACTTATTGTAAAGAAAACGTAATAACTTTTAAACTAAGCGGTATATCCTGATAAAATAAAAACAGTAATAATGATAAATAACAGGCAATAGTAAAAAAATACACAAAAAATGCCAAAAAATAATAAAAAATGTTACTTTTTGAAAAAAATCTGCTTAAAAATTCGTGTTTTTTTGGTTATTTGATAAATTTCTCCAAAAAATGCCCCTATAACAGGTGGTTTTTATTGTTTTGTATCATTCTCTATCGTATTACCTTTGTAAAACCAAAAATCGCATGTCTCTATCCCTATCACAACATTTGCTATGATCGTTTGAACTAAGCCTCTCCGGGCGCGCCATTCAACGCTTCGTTAACAACGAAACTGAAAATGGCTCTAGATTTGTAATTTTGATAAAGACAAGTTAGATTTCAAGTAAAAACAAAAGATTTCGAAGTAAAATAAGCATTTTAGTTAAAATTAAAATTGTCCCTACCTGTAGAGGAGAATAATGTTGTGATAGGCCTTTGTTCAAACTATCATAGCAAATGTTGTGATAGGGATAGAGACATGCAATTTTTGGTTTTACAAAGGTAATGCGATAGAGAATAATACAAAACAATAAAAACCACCTGTTATAGGGGCATTTTTTGGAGAAATTTATCAAATAACCAAAAAAACACGAATTTTTAAGCAGATTTTTTTCAAAAAGTATCATTTTTTATTATTTTTTGGCATTTTTTGTGTATTTTATGTATTTTTTTACTATTGCCTGTTATTTAGCATTATTACTGTTTTTACTTTATCAGGATATACCGCTTAGTTTAAAAGTTATTACGTTTTCTTTACAATAAGTAATTGGAAGAAAAAAAATTCTATAAAAAATTAAAAAAAAATCTCAAAAAATTTTTGACCTCTTTTTTGTCGATAAAAATAGGTCTAGTTTCATCTATTTTCATATGTACACTTTAACGTGACTCACACTGTATAATAGTGCAGGAAGCTCATATAGTCCAGCAGAGGACTGTAAAGGGCTGTTGATGATGATTCTCTCTAACTTACCGGCCAGGCAATAACTTGGCGATCTTGGCCCACTGGTTGCCAAGTTGCTTGTGCGCTTGGTATATCACGCGGTCTTCGTGCTCCGTCCATGCTGTCTTCTTTATTGAAGGGTTTAAGTGATTGTGCCAGCGCTCTCTGTGTACAAAAAATAATAATGTTATAGAAAATAGTATTATCATGATAAAATGTTACATATAAATTATTAGTATTTTCTTTAGCAACTCAAAGTAAGGTTACTCAAATCCCCTAGAGAGACTAAAAATTGCATAGAACTTAGGATTTACGCAAACTGAGGTACGCACGTGAAGCCAAAGAGTTCGCCTGTAATCATGTCTAGAAAATTTAATGAGGATCTACCTTCGTAGGTCCATGAGTTTGAAAGACCTTGACATAAAACAAAGGTTGATTGACTAAAATAATGAAAATTGTTGAAGAATTTAACTCTTAGAAAGTGATGAAATAATAAGGTACCTACCTTTAGGTACGATCTTTAGCTTTTAGATAACGTAATAGAAGAGATCACTAAGTACTCACCTGCACTGTTTTCCTATCCTGCCCTTCAAATGCCGGGCAATAAGCGTCCATTTTTTTGGTCCGTATTTGGCTACCAACTCTACCACTTTCTCGTCTTCCTGTAAAAGAAAAAAAACTTATTTTAGACTAAGGAAGATCAGTGACTGTCTTCTTCATAAATTCATTCAGTATTTATTTCTATACATATACCTACTGACAAATAAGAGTATGAGAGCCCTGTAAACAAGTTTAATGAAATTATGTTTGTCAAGGCTTATAAGCAACGATTGAGAAGTTAGCAGGAAGGCGCTGGATGCAGGCCGCTAACCAACCGGTCATTATGGAAAACATTGGGGGAGGCCTATGTTCAGCAGTGGACGTCCTATGGCTGAAATAATGGAACCTCCAACTACCACTGGTTTTATAGAGAGGGTCCACCTATACAGTGTAAACTATCATACTAATACACTCAGCGGCACGGAATTTGGCCCAAGCCTAAACAACCAGATATGAGGCCAAATAGGTGTTGTATACCTTAGTTTCGTGTGACATGTTAACAGAACATTTGTTTTTGTTAATTTAAGAGGCTAGATTTATAAAAAAATGCGTCTGTTTAACTTTTTTGACTCTAGAAACGCATTTCGTTGTTGGAGCGTAAAGAGTAGGGCTAAGTTTAAATTCGATATTAAATGTTGTAAGGGTTTGGCGTCTTGTTTTTTGTTTTTAAATTAATCTTAGGGTTATTCTGGTTTCCAAAATTTGAGAATAATGACCATTACTCCAGCTGAAGTTGCTCAAATAGTGTTGTTTAGAAGTCAAGGGCGTATGCAGCGGGAGATGGCTGAAACTTTCAATTTATGGCGTACAAACTTAAGCTACACGTTAAAAAGGCATGACTAGACCGCTTTTCACACAAGAAGACCAAGAAGTGGGGAATTAAGGTGTAAATCAGCGCGCGATAATCCGATTATCGTGCTTGCAATATCAAGAAATCGGGTTCTCACTACACTTGAGATACGCCAGCGTTTACAAACAGCAAGTCCAGTGAATGTCAGTGAGCACACAATAAGAAGAAGGATGGAGGATCATAACCTGCATACTCGAAGATCAGCTCGAGGACCAGAACTTCTCAGATACCTTCGCGAAGTGCGAATTACGTTTTCTAGAGAACATGCATATTGGATGTTAGACTAATGGAGTAAACTCTTTATGAAAACTGTCTGTTTGCGTAGTAACTCTTCTCCGCACCTTTTCTTTACACTTCCACGGCCGTCTGGAGCTCTTAAGGTGACTCTACAATCATTGATCCATAGAACTTTACTCCATTAGCCTTGCGTCCAATTTGCATGTTCTCTAGAAAACGTAAGTCGCACTTCTCGAAGGTATCTGAGAAGTTCTGGTCCTCGAGCTGGTCTTCGAGTATGCAGGTTATGATCCTCCGTCCTTCTTCTTATTGTGTGCTCGCTGACATTCACTGAGCTTGCTGTTTGTAAACGCTGGCGTATCTCAAACGTCGTGAGAACCCGATTTATTGATATTGCAAGCACGATAATCGGGTCATCGCGCGCTGATTTAGACCTCAATTCCCCACTGCTTGGTCTTCTTGTGTAAAAGGCGGTCTGGTCATACCTTTTTAACGTGTATCTTAAGTTTGTACGCCATAAATTAAAAGTTTCAGCCATCTCCCGCTGCATACGCCCTTGACTTCTAAGCAACACTATTTGAGCAACTTGAACTGGAGTAATGGTCATTATTCTCAAATTTTGGAAACCACAATAACCCTAAGATTAATTTAAAAACAAAAAACAAGACGCCAAACCCTTACAACATTTAATATCGAATTTAAACTTACCCGTACTCTTTACGCCCCAACAACGAAATGTGTTTCTAGAGTAAAAAAAGTTAAACAGACGCATTTTTTTATGAATCTAGCCTCTTAAATTAACAAAAACAAAAATGTTCTGTTAACATGTCACACGAAACTTAGGTATACAACACCTATTTGGCCTCATATCTGGGTGTTTAGGCTTGGGCCAAATTCCGTGCCGCTGAGTGTAATATCATACTAATTCAAAATTCTGACCCTAAACACAACAGGCGAAGGATTCATACAGTATTGGAAGCATATTTATTTTTGAAGCTCTTGGAAAGCTTCTGACAAACCCATTATAAGTACGATCAAAAACAATGACCATTTATTATGGTCATATTACGATTACACGTACTTATTTGTTGATAAGATTGAAGATTATTTCCTCGAAACATTTCTCACCAATCTACAAGTCTCAAGGCGTTCAAGGATGACCACTCAAAAGTACAAATGATACGATCATTTATAATAATAGCCCGATCCCTTGAAGAGCCTCCGTCAGGATGCGAGCTATCGATACATGAATGGCGGTGGAAAAAAATCGAATGATCGAATCGTGCGAAATTCGTTACTCTGCAAGGTGAGCTGGTTTATGAGTGGGTGTAAAAAATGAGCGGATCAGCTGAGAGAGATGCGTGGGTTTGGGATTAATAACAATCGATAAAAGTTGGTAATAAATGGTTAGTGTTGCCTGAAAATTGGAGGAATTCCTCTAGCTCTGGGGAAATATTCAGGAAGGAAAATTGGTAATTTTGTAGAAGTAGCTGAAGTTTATGTAAATGAAGGAGACGTTGATATATCTGCAAGATTCCGGTTACTAAATGTTTGTCTTTAAAAAATAAACCCCTACAAATATATTTATTACTAGCGGCCGCCCGCGACTTCGTACGCGTGGATCCCGTTTTACCCCCTTCATCTATGTATAGTACGCGGTTTAGTTTTTTTTATACAAATGTTTTTTCCCGCTAACTCCCGTTCCCGTGGGAATTTTGCAATATCCTGTTGTAACTAAGCTTTAAGTTTACTAAGATACCTGCATGCCAAATTTCGAGCGTCTAACTTAAGCGGTTTAGATTTTTCATACTGAAGGATTTTCCCGCTAACTCCCGTTCCTGTGGGAATTTTCCAATATAATGTTGTAACTAAGCTTTAAATTTACTAAGATACCTGCATGCCAAATTTCAAGCGTCCAACTTAAGCGGTTTAGATTTTTCATACTAAAGAATTTTCCCGCTAACTCCCGTTCCCGTGGGAATTTCTAAGTATACTATAACCTGCCCAGGAGTATGAAGAATAATTGTACCAAGTTTCGTTAAAATCCGTCCAGTAGTTTTTGTTTCTATAAGGAACATACAGACGGACAGACAGACAGACAGACAGACAGACAGACAGACAGACAGACAGACAAAAATCACTAATCACCCCCTGATAGTTATTTTGAAGATATATTTCATGTACAGAATTGACCTCTCTACAGATTTATTATAAGTATAGATGTGAATAATGTTATTTTAGTGAGTAAATTCAATAGTAGTGTAGGTAGTAGGAATAATTCAAATAAAAACATTATATTCATAGAGGGTAAGAAATAGAATTATATTTTTTTTTTAAACCATGTGAATGCAAAAACCTTTGAAATTATAACAATAATGTGTAGTCCTAGGGTGCCCTCGACAGTACCTTCATATAAAACTTTTAGTAATAAAAATAATCAATTTTGAATAAGCGTGAAAAGAAGAGCACTTATGAAGTAATATTGTAAAGTCGGTTACTTTATTGGCTGCTAAATGGAGCAACCATATACTTTTAACGAGCTATGGTCACGATTGCTCCAATTTTCAATAAGTAAAGTAAAAACTGTGGAAATTGGTAATCACTTGTTCATGTCTTCTAGCACTTGGTAGAGCACTTGGGAAAAATATTTTTATTCGAGTAGGTATAAGCGTGAAAAATCTATAAAAAATCATTCACTACAACAAAAAATGTGTATGAGACGTTATGTGTAATACATAACGTCTTTTTCTGCTAGTTAAGTAACTAGAGCTATGGGAAATCGAGATTTATAGACCATGACTTCTTATCTGGGGGCACGGCAGTGCCCCCGCCAAGTCGAGCGCGAAGCAAACACTGCCGTAGCATCCTTTACTGGAACCATTTCGCCGCATTTTCAGGCCCCTATTTGAGAACCTCTGGATAAGACCAGAACGCAGAAATTTTCGTCATCTAGTAAGCTATAATCACATACTTTAAATCCAAAATTTCAAGTCTGTAGGTCATTTAGTTCCGAAGTTAAGCGAAAGCAAAGTTTCGCATTTACGACACTCACTCACTCACTCACTCACTGATGATCATCAAAATAGAACTAGTACTTCCCATTAACTCAGAGGGCTGAAATTTGGTACAGAGTTAGGGTTTAATGGCCACATAAAGGGAAAACTATAAAAACTAGGAAAATCGAAGATCTGGAGTAACCACATTCATAATCAATACTACTCCGGCCCCGTGGTGTTCGCCTGTATCGCTCACCGCTAGATGGCGCTAGCACTAGCAAGCGGTGTCCAGATTTTTTTCCTTTCTAGAGAAAGTCGTCGATTAAGTTGAATGTTGTGTAATTTGCATTTCGTTGATTTCGTTTATTATACTGTAAGGTTCGCTTAGGTTATGTTATAATTAAAAACAATCTGATTCGTTGTCCATTTTAAAGGTCGTTGAGTTTATTTGTGTTTAATATCGTAAAAAAATGTTGATAAACGACGACGTTAAATAATTTTGCCACGTTCCACAAAAAGAAGTGAAATCCCACCAAAAACATTCTGTAAAAAACTAGCCAAGTCTCGATGGAGCTGCTTGTTTATCTCTAAAAAGTAATGAAATCTAGACAAAGTCGTGCCAAGTCTATGGTTCCTTACTGCGATTTCTTTATTATTATAGTTAATGTTGTGTGACTTGGCCGTTGAACAATCTTTATTAAGATAATCATACATTATAAATACGCAGCTTTACTGAACCTACAATTGACTGGTTATTGTTGAATCAACGTTTTCCAAGTGGCAATTTTCCATCGTCAGTGGGTAGCGGTTCAGGCGACTGATTGGTGCAATGGTGTCATGGAGCACCTGGTTTTGTCACCCTTCAACGGCCAAGTCACACAACATTAACTATAATAATAAAGAAATCGCAGTAAGGAACCATAGACTTGGCACGACTTTGTCTAGATTTCATTACTTTTTAGAGATAAACAAGCAGCTCCATCGAGACTTGGCTAGTTTTTTACAGAATGTTTTTGGTGGGATGAATTTTACTACCAATATCCCAACCACTAAACTATGAGTAGGATGGGAGGAGGCATAGCATAAGGATTTTGTTTTTACATTAATTAAGGTCATTATTTTTTCGTAAACAACATAATAATTCCACTCATGCGGATTGCTAACAACCATGTTATTTATTTGTACAGCATAAAGCTGATAGTGATATAATATAATATAGATACCAGCTGACTTTATATTTAGACTGTGACATGTCCTATCTAGCCTTGACTCGGTCAAAGTTTTTGTGTGTTTGCTCCACCACGCTTAACACGTGCGATGGTGGATTGTGTGGTCTGCAAATATTGGGACCTAAGAAACCTAAAACGCTTGTGAGTACTTCGGAATTAATATGTAGGTACTTAGGCATTACAGAAAAGGTAATAACGTAAAATAAAGGATGAGATATGATCATGAAGAGTGAAAATAAATTATTTAATTATGTTTTACTAAGTTAAATACATATTTATAAGGCATAACTTACACTTTTAGTTTGTTTTATTTTAAGAAAAATGCGATAAATAATTAAAAAATCCGTCACTAAAAAGAAATATAAGCACTGAAATAATAATAATTATTGCAACAAAATATTTAAGAAACCTGTACACTGATGGTTAATTGTCTTCTTAATAAAATAGAGAATACTATGGCATACAGAACTCAATTCAAAAAGATTTATGTGAAAGCTTTTCCGTGTTTCTGTTATTAATTTCTAATTTATTCATATCTTCCTCAATCCTCAAGTCTTCATGACAAGGCTCATCTAATACTAGGTATCTTACATCACTCAATCTATTTCTAGTGACAAAAAGCCTAAGGTGCGGCTAAATCACATTCTTCGCATGGGAATATGAACAGGTTTAAACGTGGTTTAAGTAAGCTGATTTCATATCAAATGGCACAATTAAGAACTAACAAGTGTATGTTATTTTCGCGAAATGGTATGAGATGAGGTTACTACTGGATTGCCTTAGTATTTATTAATAAAAAAAGTATCATAAGTTAAAGTGATGGCATATATTTACCACGAGACCACTACCGTGCACTCTTCTATACTTAATTTCAATTTATTATTTATTATTCCCACCTCTAGTCCCCACCGCTGCATCCTGGGTAGCCAGGATCTACTACAGCTTGACCGACAATAAAAACCCAACCAGTTAAACATTTTATAAGGTTATCGTCTAGTAGATTTACAAGTACCTAAGAGCTTGGTGTATAGAAAATAAGTAATTGGATTCTAATTGGACACTTAATGGAAAGCAATATTAACAAAAAGACAACAAAATAACATGGAAATTCCATATCCATAATTTTATCATGACATAATTTCACGTGCACATCTCTTGCCTATAAATCCAGTCGTTTCATTCATATCTTTGCCCATAATTTAAATTCACAGAAGGCATGTCGACACAGAGATAGCTATTTATGACGTAGTAAACCCAACATAACTTTGGTTTAATATTCTGAAGGCGCACCTCAACACAATGGATTCATTCATGTTTAAACTGTGTCGCCAATAACGCCATGTTTGGTGTTTTTTGTTTAAAGGCTTTGTTATTATTAGTACATCTCGTTCAGGTAAAAAATTCATAAAATTTTTTTTATTACGTTACCGAATGCAGAATTCTTGGTCGTTTAGTCAGAGCTGAATTTAATGGGTTTTCACCGTAATCTTTTTGCATTCGTATAAGACGGGTCCAACGGCATGCTTAAATTTTATTTTGAAGTTGGAAGTAGGTATTTAGTATTTAGACATCTCAACCCACTCAGATCACTGCATCAAGATCTTTTCAAAGGAAAACACTTGGGATCAACATCAATAAGTCACAGTATACCTTAAATGACGGCTCTACTACATATTGGTCCCAAACTCCCAAGGCCAACGTCATCCAACGCAAAGGATCTAGAAAATAGCTTATCCCAACGTTGGTACCAATACTGCTAACACATTTTTGAGATCGTTGGATGTGAGGCGTTGGGCCAACGAAAGACCAACGTTGGAGCCAAGCTGCATGCTCTTTCATTTGACATACCAACGACCAATTCATAGAAGTGGAATGAGGAAACAAACTGACCGCACACGGCGCCGAACAATGAATGAACTGTATTAATTATGAGCGAATTCTATGCGTCCGTGCGAGCATCATAGTGTTACCAAGCGTTAGTAGGACTAATAGGGATATTGAGACTTGAGAAAAATTTACAGGTAAAGGTCATGTTAAAAGGTTCTTTGTCCGAATTTAGACTAGCTGGACAATAATAATATGTAGATGGCGTTTTGGTGATAAGTAAGATAAGAGTTGTAAATTTTCAACAAGCCCAAAAAAAGACAACTTGGAAGTAAGATCTATCTATCTACGACATCTTGTTAAATGTAGAATCAGGTATTCCAGCAGTAAGTTTATCTTCTTCTTGTCGTGTCGACAACTAACCTACACAGCGGCGTCGGCCCAAAACTCCGCCACACGAATGGCGTTGTCAGTAAGTAGCCTTCATTAAATCTTCCTGCGTGCAGTTGTTTAGGCACGATGGGCACGACATCATGTGCTTATCACAGTAAGTTTGTCACTTAAGAAGAATATCATATTATCTAATTGAGGCGGTATTTGTGGCGTTTTTTTAACATTTTAATCACAAAACTATTTCCAGCAAGGAGTAAGTTATGCTTGTAGGACAGTGCTTCCTCGACTCAACCTCACTCGGCGACAGGTTACAATGTCCTGCATTATCCTTACGCCTAGTCACCCCACAAGCACTGCAGTGTTAGTGACCTGCAACTAGGCATGAATGACTGAATCATCCATCCTTTCGCCGAGACTGATTGGCGTTTATCGATCAATCGTTCACGACCGTGATCTATTCGGTGCATTACAATCGTAATTCGAATGCGCTATCGATTCATTGATGCGTTTTATATGGATCGAAGATTTTATTGAGTCATTAAGGTAAAAATTGGCAATAAAGCTGCTTTTTTTTTTGTTTTTGGTGGAATGCAAAAGAGCCAAGACTTCAAGTCTGAGATTTAGGTAGGTTTCCCACAATGCATATTAATGTACAGGCGACAAGTTGAACACTGTAGGATGTTTTGTTATGTCAAACGTCTTATGTAGTTGCTGCTTATATTACGTATTCTTAGATCCTCAATCTTTACTTAAGCATTGTTTAAAACACGAAGTAGGTAAATTGGATCAGACTAAATTTCTACTCAATAAACTATGCACCAACAGAAGATGCATTCCGATTTAGATTTTACACAGTAAGGCCTAGTTCGTTCAGTCGCGCAATAACCACGCGGTTTCTGGGTGGTTCTCATTCTCAATGCGCAGCAACCTCGCGACTATCGTATACGTAATATTATTATTATTATTTGTCGTCTCAAATCATCGATAAGATTTTATCACGGCGCGCATCCGCCCGGCCAGACCTAATAAAAAGGGATTGCCGTCAAATGACATCTATGATTTAAGGATCATACATACCTCCTTGGTCCAGGGACCTTTGACTAGTTCAGGGTTGACGACCTTCGTCCACCGCTGCTGGCACTGGACGTCGGATCGGTCTGAGAACTGCGCCGATATCAGCTCCCAGTTCTCGTTGTACATCTTAACATACATTTTTAGCCTTTTATCCTGGAAATAGATGTTAAAATAGTTGTGAGATGAGATCAAAATACAAACGAAGTCATAAACGTTGAAATGCAGTCATTAATGTCATTCCGAAAAACATCTAATCCTGGGAATAAATTATGTTTCAGTCAACTTTCATGCCTTATCATTTTGTTGGCCCTTTTCAGACCAATTATAAATAACTCAGTGTGATACGCTATTTACTTAAATAAATCTTTAGATTAGAAAGAACCCCAAACTGCATCAAGCAATTCCATTCAGTAATCAAAGGAATATTTTATGAAAGAAAGAAAGAAAAAATGTTTATTCAGTATCATCGACAATACAATTAACTCCACTATCCATCTGAATAGGTAGGTAGACCAACAATCTAGAGCAGATCGCGGGAAGCACATGAATGCGGACAGCGCAGGACCGGTCTTTTTAGAAATCATTGGGGAAGACCTTTGTCCAGCAATGGACGTCATTTGGCTGAAACGAACTCAGATACATACCTCCTCTTTCGTCCACCGCCCCCTATTGATATTCTTCCGCGACCCAGAGCTTTTGGCTGCAGCCTGCACATCTTCGTAGGCCGCGGAGTCCTCTGAACACTCGCTCGTCTCCGACTCATAGCCGCTTCGCCTGAGGACAAGCAAAGAGGACATTAAAGTAACAGTCTTTGGGCAAATTCGTTATAATCCACCTCCTTTATAACTGCAGTGCCCAACAGAGTCCCTATATTGTTGACACACCACCGCACTAAGCGTTTCGATGACTCTTATAATGCGAACAGCTAGGGACTGGAATTCGCTGCCTGCTGCTGTCTTTCCCGAAGACTATAATCCGAGCCTTTCAAGGCGAGAGTGAATAGGGCACTTACAAGGCAGATATGTACCATCCTAGACTGCATCCCACATAAATTCAGGTGCGATTGTGGTCAAATACCTGCTTTGTTAAACATAAAAAAGAGTCCATAATGTTTTAGTTTTAAAATTCATAATGAAAGCAATATCACACATGCATCGACACTCCTTTTATAGCGCTCTGTCCTAATGCGACACAACACTCCATACAAAATGTATAAATGATTATTTTGACGATATGAGTCAATCCAGATTTACAGACCACTGCGCATCAAGCTGGTACTGGGACAAACTGGTAATCTAAAGCAGTTCGAAAATGCCTATACGATTTTGCTAGGGTCTGCAATTCCGCAACAAAGTATAATAAATAAGGAATTTAATTCATCAACAGCCCTTTACAGTCCACTGCTGGACTATGAGCCTCCTCCACTATGGTGGAGGGATTTGCCATAATCTCCACGCTTGGCAGGCGGGTTGGAGATCGCAGTTTAAAAGATTGATGTTTTTCAGAGAGCGCTGCTGCCCATTCTCTGTTTGTTGTGTAGTCCCTAAGTCGCCTCTTACGACACCCGCGGGAAGAGTAGGGGTTGGTGACAAGTGTATTCTACTCTGCCGTCACCACACGGCGAATAAGGAATTTAATTATTCGCTTAAAATACGGAACCCTAAAAAGGGTAGATAGGAGATTGTGTTGAACTCAATAGTTAATGTAGGGCTCTATATCTAGGGCTAAGAACGTATTTTACGAAACTCCACCCCTAAGGGGGTAAAACGAGGTCCACGCGTACGAAGTCGTGGGCGGCCGCTAGTAGTTAAATAAAAAGAAAACAAATTATTCCTAACAACAGGAAAATGATGTTCCAAAAATGCAGTTACATACAGTACCTACGAGACGAGACAACAATGACCAGAATACCCAAAACCAACACAAATCAAACATGACTTGAAAAATACAGTCAGGTGTACACTGCGCACACAGTTTATGTAAACAAATATGAACATCCTTCTCTAAGAGGAATGCTAGAACTTAGACAAACAAAAAGATAACTCAATAGATAATACAGAATCTTGGAGGAATTTTACACGAACATCCCATGAATCTAATAAAAATAATAATGAAGCATAATATGGAGATATAATTACTATTTAAGCACAATTTAAAATGAAAATGAAAGAATTCAGTAAGTTTGAACATAACATACAGCAGAGAAGCGCTGGACGCAGGCTGCTACCAATCGAGCAACGTGGAAAGCATTGGGGGAGGCCTATGTTCAGCAGTGGACGTCCTATGGCTGAAATGATGATGATGATGATGATGAACATAAAATCTAGGTGAACAAACCTAAACCAAAAAAATTTAACAAAATAAACAAAAACAACTGAATAACTTCACTTCCATATTCTAGGGTCTTCGCACAAGTCGGCGGTGACCTCTTCAAAAATTCGTCAATAGTCAATCAAATAAGCAAACGACTTATTTTTAAATGATACCGCGAGCTAAAACCGTACAGCGCCATCTAATGGAAACTATAAGAACTAGCTGTGCACCCGCGACTTCATGTGCGTGATTTAGTTTGAATATTTTTTCCCGTTCTTGTAATATTTTTCTTTACTGCTCCGCCTTCCTCGGTAAATGGGCTATCCAACACAAAAAAAATTTTTCAAATCGGACCAGTAGTTCCTGAGATTAGCGCATTCAAGCAAACGTAAAAGCTTTATAATATTAGTATAGACAGATAAAAGAAGCATGTCAAAAAAGTTAAGTATTGTACAAAATAATCGATATAGCTAAGAACAGAACAGATTACCAAACAAGTAAAAGATCCCACGATTAGCAAAATGATGAATGTTGCTCTTGTCGGGGCACATGAAACGCCATTGGTCACGCTCCGGAATAGACTTCGCGACAAAAAACACAAGATTTAGCCTTAGCCATAGCTCCACGCTGGGTTACGTAATCATACACGTGCCTTTTATTATTAAGAACAAGAGTAACAATAGCCTACCTTGAGGGAGACCATACTTAATAGGCACATAAATGAAAATAGTGATACTATCGCGATGAATTTAGTAACTGTTATTGTTGGAGATTAAATTATAAGGATAGTAACAACAATTAGTGCTATGGAGTAATCAGGAATTATGAACCTCATAGTGAAAACATTAAAGAAGTATTTAAAGCAGTCAAAAAGGCTTATGTAGACTAAAATTTGTATAGTGCAGTGAGCAAGGTAAGTACATGATTTTGACATGATTTTTCCTCTACCACCAACATTGCTTAAAGGTGATCTGAATTTTAATATTGACAGCCGCTTGTGAAATATTTATAAAATACCATCAACCAGGATATTCAAATTCGCAAAATACTTATCCGATGACAGTTCAAAGAAAGAAAAGGTTGCAGGCGCCAAAATTCCCGATTTGTAAAACATGTAAGTCGCTTCTCGGAAAAGGGACTAAGTACTCAGCGGGGCCCTTTGAATCTGATTTGGGTGATACACACGCTTGTCTCCAGTATTATAAAGGCCAGAATGCTGAAGCACAACACGTTTCACGAATAAAGAAACGAGTTCTTATAATAGGCGTGGAAAAATATCCGACACCGGTTTTAAGAGCAATAATTTCTATATCGACTTTCGATGAGGTAAAGAGACGTATAAAAAACAGTCAGACAATTTATGCATAGTTTCCAGCCATCAGCTGATAGCCAAACCAGTTGTGCTCATTCATTGATGCATAAGATACATTTCCAGATTCTTTAGTGGGTGCTATATTATGCTTGCTTACTCAGTGAACGAGTATTTTATGACTAGTTTCTGTCTGGCTTCGTCCGTGTGTTGAGCATAAAAATATCACTAACATGTAGTTTATGGTTTATTTTAAAAAGAAGACTTAGACGTAGACTCTCTTAAGTTCTATCTGTGATAAAAATTGTTTTAATGGCTGAACCATTGTGGCGTGAAAATGTATGTTACAGACACCACTTTCTTACTGTAAAATGTAAACTAACATTTCACGACATTACTTTCTCATTCATTAAATTGTTTTGGGTGGTAGCACGACGTTCATGTATGTTTGCAAGTCTTTCCAATGTTAAATGAGATATTCTGAATGTCTTTTCAACAATTTGTAGCTTATTTTCACTATAATAATGTTATAGAAAATATGCATAATGTATTAATTTTAGGAAACTAATTTCACTCACTCATATAACATCACGCCGAATTATCCAAAAAGTGACGCGACGACAGATCCCGGCAGCAAAAACTCCATTTTCACATCAAAACAATAACACGAACATCATAAACATAAAACAAAACACAAAAATGCCGACCAATTCCCGCCAAAACTCTCCACACTACATCGCTGAGCACAAGCGACGCACGCGCACCTAAAGACACGACTATTACAGCAATAAAGAAAAATTATATCCCTTGTTCCCACACTCACACATCGACATAAACACCTACACGACACGCATACGCAAGACGTAATAAGGGTGAAGGGATCCACAAAAACCCTGCAGGGACCAGAAAAAGGACAGCTAGAAGAAACATACTCGAGCAAGACAGGGACGCACGATCAGGTACAGAAATCATACCCTGCAGTGGGGATGTGACGCAACACAAGCAAAGGAAAGCAGGTGTAAGCAACTGGTATAGAAAAAGAACAAAGAAAATCGATTTTATACTTTTTATATTGTTGGATAGGTCAGCGTCTAGCTAGTTGAAAGAAATGATGTTAGGGAAAAAATCGTGCATGACAATTACAATGATTCAATAATAATATTCGAATGGATCTTGACTACAAAATATTGCAAATTCTACAAGCTTCTGTCCCTAACACAGTTCATAAGTTCGAGGTCGATAAAAAGAAGTTTCCAATAAGGCTTTCCTAAGAAACAGTAACAAAAAACACAAGGGTCGCCGTGCCCCAAATGTTTGGCGGATGTCAAACTAAACACAAGCAACGGGATTCGCTTTTTGCGAGGGCTGAATGTCTCCCAAATGTTAAACTGTAAGTCAGCTGATTTTGCGGTGTGCTGTTTGAGGCAAATTTTGATTTTGTTTATCTATTTGATACAACATTTCCTGCGTAAATATCAGATGGTACCTATTGAATCATACTTCCTGTCGTTGTTGATATCATTATTATAGTTTAGTTAGATCTAAGGGCATTGCCAGATAGGAATGCATCTAATCAGATAAAAACATTTTTTCACATCGACAAACGTAATTTCGGAATATCTAAACCGGCGTCTAGACGGGGGAATAAATAATAAATAAGAAAACCAGACGTCACTGTAAATTTCAAGAACACATTACTGGCTTATCGATAAAATTGCACATTTGCACATCTTTCGTTTCCTTAGAAAGACGTATTTTCGTAAGCTTAATATTCCATGAAGTGACCAAAGTGAACTCTTTATACCTGTTTCGGAATTTGTAGAAATAGGAGTCCGTGCCGATATAAAAAATTCTGTAGCTAATAAATATTCACCTATAAATGAACATACGGCTAACAAACCCCTCGAGCAAATGATGTTATTTCACACTTGAACATTTCTCATTAAAATAAGGAAGCAACTCATTTCCACCTGTCTCCTGAATCAGACCTTTGGATTTCACGACCGATTATAACAAAGGAAGTAACTATTAAAAGAGATAAGACTAAATGTTGAGCTTCGCGTTAAATTACGTTCGTAATTTTAGATCACAATAAAAATTGAATTAAAAACTTTTGTATGATAAGTTTGTCTTGCCGTGGACTGGCTTTTTT